GGACCTTCGACATACTCGATAGTGGCCCGTCGCCACTTCTCTCCTGGTCCATAGGCACGAACCAAAACTGGCTGATCTATCGCAAAGGTTCGGGTAGAAGTCCGTTGTGCTTCCTCCTCCAGCTGTCGCTCCGAGCGGTTTGGCCCACTGTCCGGATGCAATGCTGACACCGCAGTCCTTACGTCCATTCAACAGCTTTGCAGGAGTCTTTCCTAGATGGTTCGGCACCGTCCTGAGCGAATATAACACTCGAGGCAGTTTCTCAGCCCATGACAACCCTGCATCCGACATTTTCTTAAGTTTGTTTTTGAACGTCTGTATCGCTCGCTCGATTTGTCCGTTCGTAGCCGGGTGATATGGGGGCTGAATATAAATGTTCGATACGATTATTTTGCAGAAATTTATTAAATTCACTCGAGCTAAAGGCTCTACCGTTGTCCGAAACTAATTTTTCGGGCAGTCCCTGTGAGGCAAAAATTTTACGACAACTTGATATAAGAGCTTCGCTGCTCATATTTGGTAATATAGAAGCCTCAAACCATTTGCTGTAGCTGTCAATCATAACAAAAAAGACCTTCCCCTGGAATGGGCCAGCAAAATCAACATGGACACGACTCCATGGCTTATCGGGCAAAATCCAAGCATGTGGTTCTCTCGGTGGATTGTTTCTTACGTCCTGACACAACTCGCAGGCAGCCACTGTAGTCTCTATTTGTGCATCCATACCAACCCACCATACGTATCCTCTAGCATAAGCTTTCGTCTGGACTATACCAGCATGCGGTGCATGCAATACCTTGAGTACCTGCTGTTGTAAGGAGGCAGGTACAATGACTCTGTTACACCACAATAGACATTCTTTATTGTGTGAAAGAGCCTCACGACGTGTCCAATACGGCTTGAGAGTGGGATCAGTATTATTAGGAGGCCAACCATGTAGGACGTGAAATAACACCTTTTGCAATACGCGGTCCTTCTTAGTCTCGGCAGCAATTCTTGCCGCATCCAGATTCAATCCAGGGGGAGGTTCCTCAAGGAGTAACACATCGGCTAATAGATCCACTCCTTGTTCTTCTGAAGTGTTTACAGATGTCCATCGACTGAGAGCATCTGCATTACCAATATATTTCCCAGGTCTATATTTAATTTCATATTCATAACACCCCAACTTTAATGACCATCGTAACAATCTAGGTGAAATTTGATCAGGAATAGGTTTATTTGGACTAAATATACCGATTAGCGGCTTATGGTCAGTAATAATACAAAACTTCCTTCCTAATAGAAATTCATGAAATTTTGTAATTCCGAAAATTATGGCTAGAGCTTCCTTGTCGATTTGTCCATACCGTCGTTCATGGGGTTGTAACGTTCTGGATGCCATCATCACTGGTCGTTCTGATCCATCGTCCATCACATGTGCAATAATTGCACCCACACCATAGTCTGATGCATCACAAATTAACAATAACTCTCTCTTTAAATCATAACCAACTAAAGTTAAATCTGAAGACAACACATCTTTAGCTTTCTCAAAAGCAATTTGTTCCAATGGACCCCATATCCAAGGTTTCTTTGCCTCCAGTAATCGATACAAGGGCTCTAGTATTGTGGCTTTATCTTTAATAAATTTTTCATAAAAGTTATATAACCCCAAAAATGCACGTAATTCTTCTTTGTTCCTAGGTGCGGGTTTCTCTTTTATTTCTTTTACTTTAATCAATGATGGGTGCAATCCCTCGGCATCAATCATATGTCCCAAGAAACTTATCTGATTTGACGCAAATACACATTTGTTCAGATTTAACCTAAGACCCATTGTATTTAATTTAGTCAAGACTGCCCATAGCCTTTGATCATGCTCTTCATTATTTCTGCCAGTAATAGCCACGTCATCCAAAAGACATGCTACCCCCATCCATCCCTGCCAGTGCTGTAGACATTACACGTTGGAAAATACCAGGAGCTGCATTTACTCCAAAAGCGAGACGGTTCATTTTCATTAATCCTAATGGAGTATTGAGTGTCAAAAGCATAGCAGTGCCCTCATCCACTTTCAGCTGCATGTATGCTTGTTTCAAATCAATTTTACTAAACACCCTTCCTCCACTTAATTTCACAAATGATTCACAAGCAGCTGGCAATGGGAAGGTATCAGTCTCAATTGCTAGATTAACAGTTGACCTGTAGTCACCACATATGCGCAGGGAGCCATCATCCTTTTTCACAATTCTTAAAGGTGTTGCCCATTGGGAATATTTTACAGGGGTTAAAATCCCTTCATCAACCATTCGCGTCAATTGTTCTTCTACTTGTATTATTAAGGGAAACGGTACAGGGCGCGCCTTCAAAAAACGCGGAGAAGCATCAGGTCGTAACTTCAACGATATTTGTGGTCCATTGTACTCTCCAAGACCTTCTTTAAATAACTCTGGAAAAGATTTTAATAGTTCATCAATCTTCTCATTTTCTGTCCAGCATATACCAGCTATCTCAATGCCCAATATATCAAACCAATTTCTTCCTAAAAGGCTAGGCCCAAAACCAGAAACCACTAACAGCTCACATTGAGCTTCTTTGTTTCCTAATGACACTTGAACATGAGCTTGCCCTAAAACCTTCAGTTCTTCACGGGTCCATGTCACCAATTTCACGCGTGTCTTCTCTAATGGTGGTGGAACAGCCCACAGCTTTTTGTATGTCTCTTCAGCCATGATAGTCCTTGCAGCACCCGAGTCCACTTCCCTAGTAATCTTTACACTGTTGATAATTACTTCTGCTTTCAATGGTGATCGGCAATTATCTGAACAAACAAATGTGCTCATCATGTAATCAGGTTTTTCATCTCCAGAATTGGAAGTCAGACTTTCCTCCACCCGGTGCACTCTGTTAGGTCTCTTCATACAAGCAGCAGCAATATGTCCAATTTTTTTGCAATAAAAACATTTGGCTTTTATAAAAGGACATCTATCACCACTGTTGTGTGACCGTGCACAATGACGACACTTGATCAATTTAATTAGACCAATATCCATCTGTTCCGTGATTGTGGACGGAGTTTGTTTTAACAACCCTGTATCTGGGTACAAATCCAAAAATGTGCCTTGATAGTTTAGGCTCAATTGCACCGCCAACTCATACGTAAGATTTTTCGTCCTTAACAACTCGCATCGGAGCCGCTCGTCGCGCACACCTAACACTAACCGATCTCTTAGCTGTCTTTTTAAGTGTATAAAATTGCAACTAGAAGCCTGCGCGAGCCGATAGCTGCAATATATTCCTGAATATTTTCACTTTGACTTTGTTGACGTTTATGAAATTTATCAGATTGTAAGATTTCATTCACTTGAGGTTCATAGAATTGGTCAAGCACAGCCAAAATGTCATTTAATGCCACTGTAGTAGGTCTTCTAGGCACTAATAATGAAACAATTAATGAAAAAGTCTCCTTTCCACATTGTGATAAAAACAACGCACGTGCTTTGTTTACGTCGTCACCATTTACATTCGTTGCTTCTAAAGCACACAGAAAACGTTCTTTATATTCACTCCAATTATCTGTCCGTGGATCAAACTGTCCGGGAAACGCAACATTAGACAAATTGCACGCCATTTTACTCAATAAATTAATTAATTTTCCTCGTCGCCATTAAAAGATACAAACATCAGACAAGGTTGCAAACAAACTCATTTATTTATTAAACTACCTTCGCTTAATATTACAATTATTATACCCTCTACATAATATACAACAATCATCATTATCTCCTTGATCAGCTTTATTTTTTATGCAAGCGAGTAGGTGGTACCTGTATGTATTTGTAGTGATTAACGTAAACCATGTGGCAGATGCGTTTCCAACCTTTATGGTATTATGTAACAAATTACAAAGATCAAAATCATCAAAAAATTCAATACTTTTTTAAGGTAGAATAATTATTTAAATATTTATACAATTAATATTATATATGAAGTGGTGGATTTCCTTTGTATAGAAATTCCAACATTTAATTTTCTTTTTTTCTGTAAATATGAATTTTTCCTGTAAATATTAACTGTCAACAATTTTTAAATGTATATAACTTTGCTTGGCGGGTTGTTGATAACTTCAGTTACATAATATATTCTCATGGAATATAGAGCTAATATAGGCTGTGACAATATACTTGTAATGTTACAAAATTTGAGTGATTTTGTTGTAGATGTGCCAAATTTTAAAGATCCCATAAGTCACAATTTTGCATCTATCAAAATGATATTATTTGATAGACAAATGTATGAAGGGTTATATTCACTAAAACTATAATTCACTATAAATATAAATATTTATAACATTTTTTTTCTTATTGGTTTTCTACTATGACATTAGGAATGCTTTGGTTATCTTATTAAATAATTCAAGTTAGTTGATTACCATATGATTTTACTACATCGTACTACAACCTACCTTGCAAGTTACTAAAAACAATAATAAAGATATATACCTATATATAAAAGACTAAGTGAAATTATAGATTTAAATATCATTAAGATATAACTTTCTAGACACAAAACGAATATCCAAATCTTGTAATGGTGGGACTGTATTTCTCACGTTGCTGGGAAAGATGTTATTTTTCATACATTTACGTTCATCTAAACAAACACATGTTTTGTTTATGGATATAATCCATTTGTTCATTTTAGAATTATTAGGGCTTAATGAATCTACAATTGTATTTTGGTTATCAATTGAAGAAGTCATCATGAAATTTGAACTAGGGTATATAAGAAAAGCAAATAATGTTAAAGCAACTAAACACTGTATGGGGATGGCAGAGGACCAGTATTTATCCGGATAATAATACATATTCAGGTGATGTAAGTAATAATCAGGAACAAATGCCCAAATAAAATAAATAAATAATGCAGTCTTACTAAATAAAAACAAAATAAAGCCATACAGTGATCTTGCAGGGTTAGGGGCTGGTGTGTGCTCTGCCATTATATTAGAAACTTTAGCCAAAACCAAATTCACTTAAAGTTTTAATTATTAACAGTATATTTTTGAATGTTGCATTAACGGCAACTCTTAACCTCTTTGTATCTGTTCCTTCAAAATTTCTGTAACAATGAATAATAAATAAAAGTTATTAAATTCTTACAAACCAATTATTAAATGAGGCTGTAAAAAAGTACGAACATTACAAGCTCATTATTATTTATTGTAACATTTCTTTTAACTCTACTTCCTTTTAAATCCTTGTCAACCTTTAATATCTCATAAGCAATAATTGCTTCTTTAGGTGTTTCAAACGGAATACTCAGGCTTCTGAAAAATATAACAAAAAAAAATTACTATTTACACACTGCGACAAAAAAGTCGCTCTTTGAAACGTTGAATTTCAAAAGAAAAGCTAAAGATTCAGAATACTAGATAAATACAAAAACTTCCAAACTATTCTATAGTAGATGCGCAAAAATAATTATGCTTGCTAATCATGTGCGCAAATGAGTCAATCAATAAAATATATTCCCTATTAGAATTATGGGAAAATAATAGAGATTTACTAAAGCCCTACATATTTTTTAGAGTTTCTTCAGCCATCACTGGATAAGATAACAAGAACCTTATCCTTAATCGATATACAATTAGTAGAAAAACCACAAGATTTTACACAATACCAAGAAAAAATTTAAATAAGCCCAATGCCATAGAGTAAAGTAATACTACAGAAATAGAAAGCCATCTCGCATATCATTTTGGTCAACATCGCGGGCTAGCGACATCTATATTTCTTGTTCCGAAAGATTCGGTGTATACCTATATATACCTATATGATGTATATACGTATATCTATTAATATAGCTATATATTTTATTAATATAATAGTAACTTTTAATAAGTTCACATTTTAATGATGAATGCCATACTGATAAGGCATTCATCACGAAATTGTGAACTTATTAAATGTTACTATTATATTAATAAAATATATAGCTACATTAATAGATATACGTTTATAATTATGAAGAACTTAAAGTATATTAAGTATGAAGTAGCAATTACATGTGAAAGTAAAACAATGTTATTTATTTCTTGCTTTTATTATATCTATGATTGTTAAAATAACATTTTTACACTGATCTTACAACTATTTCCCACATTAAATTAGATTGATCGATCGGTACCGACTTTACAAAATAATATTCATTGTTGTATCATCCAAACATCATTTCAGCCGGTCCCTTTGGATATTTTAGTGTTTCTTATTTTGAATATACATTTTAGTTAAAACACTCGTGTTCTTCCAGGGTTTTCAATATATTTTCTGGGTATTTGCTGTTTCTTTTTGTAATTCTTACTTCTTTTTCTTAGTCTACTAATTTTACTACTTTAATTTTACTTTCTTTGTACTTAACTTAATTTATTTACTTATTTTTTTTTTGCTTTAAGTTGTTACTTTCTTTGTACCTGTAACATATTCAGCACTACTAATAACATTTGTATGGTTAATGTAATTAGTAGTCTCATACACATCTCACATATCTAGTATAATAACAGCATTACTGCTTTTAGCACATTAGTTATGAGAATATTAAAAGAGGTTCATATTCCCATGTTAAGTTATCCTAATACAATTTTTAATGTTATTATTCATAACTGCCTTGGTGGTCTCACAGCATAAGCATAAGATCCTTATAAAAAAACCACAACCATTTGGCCCAACTTCTCAGAAAATTCTCAGTAGCATGTACCTCATGTACCGCATGTAGTCAAAAATAGGCTTGCCTCTTAATGTGTGGATCTAAACATAACTGGTTCCGTCACAGAATGTGCACATTTTATTGAAAAGTACCTGGAGGACCGAGCTATGCTTGGTTTTTTGGGTAAATCATGTATTTTGGAAAAAAAAAACATTATATATATATATATATATATATATTCGAAATTTCTAGGTTACATTTTTAGAAAATGTCCTTTTATCCCTGTTTTCAGGGAATGAAAAATATCATTCGAATATGACGATAAATTACACCGCAAAAAAAAGTGTTATAATACCTCGGTCGGTAATCGGGCGGCCCCAAAACAGACGGCCGATGTTCGTATCACGATCATTTACACATTTAATTTTTACTTTTTTTTCGACTAATTTATAATTCATATTTAACTTAGGAATCTATGCATACATTTGTTAAATTAATACTTACTTCATCGGAGCAGTGCATGAATTTTTATATTACTTTACAGTTAATTGAGATGTTTGTAGTAGTTTTTTACATTTTCATTGAAGCATTTATCAGAAATTTTCTTGCTCTCATGGATCTTTCATCTACTAACATACTGCTAACTCAACACATTTTTTAAAGAGCTCTGGGGTTGGGTTATTCAAATGATTTGGAAAGATTTGAACAGGTACACCTGAAAATAAACCAAAAAGTTATATTAACTTATGTTAGTTGTACCTATTTATTTCAGTAATGTCTAATTAATGTTAGGGTACAACGCTAAGGCTATTTGGAAACCTCGTATGTATATTAGGTTTTTATAATAGGGGAATAACCATACCACAACAACCAAATATAATCAATTTATAACAACAACCTTAACAGAGCTATGGGTACAGCACCATAAATTTATGTTATATATTTGTCATAACTTTACTTTTTCTTTATTTGCTTTTTAACCAAGGTAATGACAGGATTAATAGGAATACACAAAGAATACATGTATTGCGCGTATGCAATCAATTTTACATACATCTGATGTGGTAAAAAAATAACATTCTATACAAAAGTAGTCTTCACAAAATGGAATATGAAAATTACCCGCGCTCACACATCCAAGTACACAATGTTTAGAAATAGTATAAGAGTTCTAACGATTTTACCTTGATCCTAATATTTTAACTATTACTGAATATGAATATTAACAACTTTTTATAACTACAAGCAGCACTAGTGGTTATATCACCGTCCGGGAACGCAGCCGAAATCCAAGTGACCGCTGCTCCATACAACCATGTGTCCCTTGGCTCGAGTAGATAACGTCATATCCGGTAAACAGTGTTGCCAGCGCCAACAATAGGCAAAGTTACACAACACAAAACTTACCTTACTAATAGCTTCCAAAATATCGCAAAAGTTAATTAATGGCGTCCAACACATTGTAAAAAACACAAGCCGTCGTAAGTTTAGCGGAGAAATCTTCAACTCGACCCTAAACACACTTTTACTCAATTCAAAGAAATTTGCAATTCATACTGCCACAAACACAAGTGCATAACAACAAAGATTAATTAATAAATGCGCACACGCAATTAAATAAAATGAAAAGTTTGGACATTTTAAAATTGTTAGGTGACATTTTTTTTTTCACCTTTCTTCTAGTTTATAACATTGTATTACAACTATATCACTTATATATAGTGACCTCTAGTTAAAAAAAAAAGAAAACATAACATTTGTTTCAAGATCCTATAAGAAAGATGTCGCTACAAAATATACTCGATCGGCTTTGTATAGGAGTTTCCCGCCCCTGCCCAATGCTCAAGCCTCAAACTAGGGATGCCGAAAAACTATCGATATATCGATATTTTTTTTTAAATATATTACGATATATTATGCTCCCATATCTAATATATAAAATTCGCGTGTCACGGGGTTCGAATTTGAACTCCTCCGAAACGGCTCGACCGATTTTTACCAAATTTTATATGCGTATTCAGTAGGTCTGAGAATCGGCTACTATCTATTTTTCGTCCCCCTAAATCTTAAGGGGGTAGTAAATTTTTTTTTATTTTTTATATAAAACTTTTTGTTTCTATTTTTTTATGACACAGCATACAATAATACATACAACCCTAAATTTTCACCCCTCTACGCAGACGTAGTCGCGGGCAGCAGCTAGTATCGATATAAAAAATTGAATATGGAAATCGTATCAAAAACGATATTTTTATTGAAATTGATTCAAGGCTTTGAATGAAAGATAAAAATGAACGAAAAAAAACTGTGGTCCTAGCTAAACTGTGGTAGCTATTATCTGACCAGTCAGATAATAGATTACCGATTGAGCCGAGGCCCGGCCCTCACGGGCACCCTCGAATCGGAATGCTAAACGCGTGTTGGGTGACAGCCCAAGGCGGGGGACCTCTCGGGGACCATTGAGCCATGGAGCGCCCGCCAAAGCGCCCTAAGAGCTTGGCGGCCTCTCAAACCGGTGATAATAATAGCGTGACGGCCCGAGCCGAGGCTCCCTCGGGAGCCCTCGAGCTTAGGCACAATAACGCGTAATAATAATACGCCGAGGTTCAGGCTAGGCGCCCCGTGCGCAAGGCCACCTCAAGCCCGTCGGATCTGTGTAGGTCCCTAAGGCCAACAGTGGCTCATCCAGTCCAAAAAAAACTGTGGTCTAATAGTATTGTCGCAAAATCAAAATGTCCAAATTTAATTATAATAAAATTCTCAATAATTAAATGTCACATAATTTAATATCGAGTTTTCATAAAAAATATATTTGTCGACATAAAAATTATTATCATTTAACCACATAAGTTACTATTTTATATTGTCGTTCAGCATTTCCATGTCGAACAAACAACTATTATTAAATTCTGCTGATCTGTCTTTTAGGACAAGTCCCTGCAGGTTTCTTTTTGACCAATTATTAACTTCTTTTTAAACCATTCTTTATGTTTTTTTTACGACGTTACATGTTTTTTATTACTTATTTTTTCATTTGATTTAGAGCTAAATAAACTGATTTATCTTACTAAATAAGCTGTTTGTTTTTTTTCCGATGAAAGTCGTGATAAATAATGTACAACTTTTTCCAATAATAAATTATAAAAGAAAATATTAGTAAATTACTTGTTTAAATTTATACAGGTGCAATTTTTTTCTTTTTTTTTTGTAACTTTTAATTTGTTGAAAAAAAAGAAGATCCGATAATTGTTAATTGTTTGTTAGCTTCAGGGACATACGTCTCACCCCGATGGTTTAATAGTATTAGTATTTACGAGTCATCTAGGACTGCTGGAGCGCTATTAGGTCTAACTAACGGTGGTAGAGATTCGTGGGGGTTTGCTTTCAAATTGCGGGCCAACCGCCAGTAGGCGGTGTGCGATGGCTCGATGTCCTCTAGGAGAGTCCCACGTGGTATGTCGGTGTTCCGATACACGATCTTTGATTTCTAGCTGAAGGCGTCGAAGTAGGGTTCAGTTCGATTCCGATTGGTATCGGTCGAAAGGGCGTTTGGCTGCATTTTTCTGTCTAATTAGTAGTCGCAGGCCGGGTGGAAAGTTAAACCGTCGGTCACCCGAAAATTTCACCGTCCGTTCCGAATCTGCGACTGCGGAAATGATAGTTTCTCGGAGATTTGCTATCGCTCGATTTGCGTCATCGAACGTAGCTAAATTTCGGGTGGGTCGACTATGTTCTGGGGGTCTAAGGCCTTGAGTTTAACCTCAAGACGATGCCAGTCCACTACGGATTTGCTCGAAAGGACTGCGCCGGCGTTCTGGCCCAGTTTACACAGAACTTTCCTGTGATCGGAATCTAGTTCATGGCTTGTCTCTATCGACTCGATGTCGAGCGAGACCTCATTGAATAACATGTCTAGGATACTCGGTGTCGCGTGTTGGTAATTGTCCACCGTATGATACTTAGGGAGAGTTGCAGGAGCGACTACGCTAAAATTTAAGTTATCAGGTAAGCTAAAGGGATGCTTTCCGTTCTTATTTGGGATACTGTGGATGTCCCATGAGCCGTGTTTTCAGTTTCGATCGCCTGCAATTATCACGGAAGGGCCTAAGTTGATTAGCGTATCTAGATCGCTTTGTAATAAGGTTTTGTTCCCCGAGAGGTAGGCTGAGACTAGTACAAGCGGCCTATGGCCTTTTAACACGTGTTACAAACAATCTAGTTGAGACGTCTTCTCTAGTACATAACTCGATGTATATTACAAGAATGTTACATGGAAGAAAGGTTATACAAAGAGTTAAGACTACAAATTATTACATCTAATCTATACTTTTAATAAAAATGTAACTAATCATTGTATGTACATGGAAGATATTTGAGATAAATTATTATTGATGGTCTTTATCAACGAAAAAGAATGAAATTCAATTGTTAAAATGTTTGTCTGTTTGTATGTGCGTTCTTGCGCGCTAATCTCCGTTACTACTTATGCCCGGTTCCTATATTCCACGAACGGCTGATCGTTACATAGCTTTGTAACTTTCATAACGACTTGTAGATTAAAGGAACGCTATTAACTCACTTCCCGTAGGTAATGCAACGGCTCGAAGGGAAAATACCTCATTTTGTTAATATAGGAACCAGACGTACACGCCTTTTATCTACAAGTCATTATGAAAGTTACGAAGCTATGTAAAAACGGCCGTTCGTTGAATACAGGAACCGGGCATTAACCAACTTGGGAACAACTTTCACTAACGTTTTGTAGTAAGCTTCACTTTACATTGAAATCGGTTCATAAATAAAAAAAATGTCGAATTAAAGAACCTCATTGAAGATATGTTCGATAAAATGCTATATAATATCTACAGCTGAACTGGATGAAACATAGTTAACTATACAGCGTGTCGTTACCATCGCGACAATAAATAATGAAACACACGTCTAACGCTTCTTGCCAATAATCATAAAAAAATATTAACGTTAAACAAAATCCATAATTAAAAAAAAATATTTTTCAAACTAATTAACAAAGTAAAAAGGAAACAAAATTTGTAACACCTATACAACTCGCGCCACACTTACAAGCCTCCTCTTCTAACAGTATGTTTTGTCTCTTTTAAATTCATTCAACCCATTCATATGCTTTGTGACCTTTACAAATGAACTTTACAGTTTTATAGGTAAAGGTGTTCTAAAATTCTTTGTTTTGGAAAATTTAATAACTGTGTAAATATTGATGTCTAAAGAATGTAAATGTTTAATTCAATTTTAAAAATTTATCCCCTATATGTGTGTTCATTTATTGTCGCGATTGTAAAGACACGCTGTATATTGTGATCTGTAAAAAAATAATTTTAAGTTGATATAAAGTTAAAACAATCGGCAGAGTGAAGTGGCGCACGAAACAAATAAAATGCCATGATAGCAGGATTATTTAAATTAAATTTCAATTACTGTAGATATACGAGAGAAATAAGAAAAAGCGATAATCATTTTGTAAAAGGTTTTATTAATATTTGAAACACAATTTACTATATACAAATTACTTTGTAAAAATATTCATTCTCGTCTTATTATTTAATGATTTATTTAATTTTATAGGCAATACTTAAAACAATATAGAAAAACTGATGAATCAATAAAAATTATTATGAAAGTCTTGGCATTTTGTTACAATTTAATAAGTACACAGAACATTGTTTTTATGCATTTGATTATTGATAAGAATATACAAAATCAATTAATATATTAAAACTCATTATATATTATGCATATATATTTATATATATTAAAAACCAATATTTTCGATTCAAAATAATAACATAAGCAATGGCATCCTCCCGTTTAATATTAAAGTATAATTATATATATGGCTTAATTGGAGATTAAAAAATAATTTATATATCGGTTCTTGAAGTTTTAACCAACATTTTCACTGGAAAATGGATGCATAAAACATAACCAGCATTGCAAAAATCGTTCCTTCACATTAAGGTTATGGCGGAATGGTATTTTCTTAGTAGTTACTAATATTTTGAATAGTAACGTAGGCCAAATGACATTTTATAAACAGATAAAACACAATTACCGCCTACATTCCGTATTAAACTTGACCTGACTATAATTATGTATGTAAATTCTAAACAGGTGTATATAATTATGTATAACATACGCGTATAAATTACCCGTCGTCGGCGAGAATATTATGAAAAATGATGTCACGAGCCATTTATGTTATTGCTTAGACTATATGAAATTAATAGAGTCCACGATATTGTAATATAAAAATATTAGAAAAGTGATTATCAAAGGACCTCCACATTCCCATATAAAACCAAATATAGTTATATATGTCAAGTCGTAACATCGTGAATTTTTTGCGCCCTGCAGAGCGGGTGTAAATTATAAGTAGTGAAAACAATGATATATTTTGTTGCTTTGTACATTCAACAAACAATTTTTTTTATTAAAAACTCAAATTATCAAAAATAATGTGATCGATAGGTAAACGAGACTCTGCTTCTCACATTTTAATATATGCTATTATAAATAACATAAAAGTAGAAGTTTACTTGCGTTTATGATATTTCAATCTTACATGACAACAAAGTTGTATTAGACCAAGTTTTCTTTATACTGTTGGGATTGTTTTTACGGTCAATAGTCGTTATTATACTAATCGGAACGTAAGTTTACTGGATTAAGTGTCACTACTTATAAGGTACACTGCACTGGCCCAGCACGGCGTACGGTTTAGCGTCGCGGGCCCCAAGCGGCGGGCGCTGCCGGTGCCGCCGCCGCTGCGGAGGCGGGAGCGGGGGCTCCGGGCATGGTCGGGAACTCGTGAGTGGAGGCGGTGTCGGGAGCGCGTTGTTCCCACGGGCCGCCCTTCACCACGAAGCCGGTCGAAGGAGCACCACTGGCCGGCGCATTGTTATCGTTGTTCAGAACATCACCGAAGTCGGCCAGCGACGGGGCGGCGGGGCGCTGGTAGCGATCCACCACGTCTTGCAGCTGTTCAAAACGATGGTTTATAAAAGGATGGTGAATCAGAGGTGAGGGTGTAATTTAACATGAAGTTTGAACAAAACTTACATATTCTTCAGCCAAATTCAGTAAGTGATCCTTGGCATCCAAAACGTTGTCTTCATCACCAGTGATGACAACAATGCTGTCGTCACCATGTTTAGGAAAACGGATGTCGACCTTGTACTCATCCATAATACGTCTGATATTTTTGCCCCTGAGGCCTATGAGCCTTCTGTGGACACGTGGATCAATGTCCACCTCATCCCGGTATTGGTTGTCCTAAACATTTCATAATTAAAATGATATACTCGGTTTAAATAAATAAGCACATACACCATCATTTTTAAATAAGAATTAAAGCATTCTATGTTAGAAAAACTTGCTTAAAACGCTGCAAATTTGTATAGTTAGGGGAAATTAGTACTAATATTTATAATTTTTATGGTTAAAAACGATAAATTATAGCATATGCATTATTAAACAGTGGTTTTATTTAAAAAGCACACTTTGTTTAACTCATATCTTTATCATCAGAATGCTAAGACACACACTTCTAATTAAGTTACTGAAAACAAAAAATATATATAAATTGATGTAGAAAACCATAGATCAACAGTTATTCAACAAAGTACATTATTAAAATGATTTGGTATTTATTTTTATTTAAATATAATAAAATCAAAGTAAATATAAAATCAAGATAATAGGTGTGCAGTAGTATAATTAGACTTAAGTTATATGATAAAATACAAATCACTTACAAGTTGATGCACAATAGCCATTATGGCTTCCTTTGCTTGCAATGCCTTATCTTCATAACCTTGAATGGTGATAATATCATCATCAGGCTCACCCCTCTTTGGCAAGTTAATTTGTACTCCATAATCAGTTCGAATTTTTGTTATCACTGATCCACCCTTTCCAATAACTAGGGGGTGATACTCAGGATCTACTTTGAATTTAAGCTCAAAAGACCTGATTAAAAAAATTAATAATTTTTTGTTTTTTAGTGTGAAGTATACATTTAATTATTTTCATCAAGGTCGCTGTGGTGATAAAAAGCAATAAAATTTTACCTCAGAATACGATCTTCTTTCTCTTTTTCCATTTCAACTATTTTGTCAGCAAGAGCTTGTTTAGCTTTTTCCACATTAGTTGGAGTTCCAGTCACCTGCAAAAATATAAAGATTTTGTAGCAAGAAATTAATGGTATGTTTTATTAAATTTTCTTATAATGAACCAACTTTGACCGTGTCACTGTTCTCTTCAGCTGGGGGCATCAGGATGTGCACATCATATGTCTGCATTAACTCTCGCCTCTTTTGTCCAGCAAGTAAACGGTGCAATTCGAAAGGAACTTCCACATCTATAGTTATTGGAACCTAAAGCAAAATGTTATTTTAAACATGTTTTTATTCTTTAAAGGTTTCCTTATTCAGTTATCACTCCAAAAAAATATACTTATGTCACTTGAAAATACCTGATCTAATAGTGCTTTCTTGGCAGCCTCACAATTTTCTGGCCTACCAGTTATTCTTATAATGTCATTGATACCAGGCTCAGTTGTCTCTTCATCTCTTACAGGAATATCTGCGCCCTCTGTATTATCACGTTCCGGGAACTTTATTTGAACATCAAATTCCGCCGTTATATCCTTTACTTTAGCACCACGGGCTCCCATGACTGTACGATGATGTTTTTGTGGTATCACGCATTCAATGGTAACCTACAGATAAACAGATTATTTAAAAAAAGCAAAAGTCAGTTTTTACAAAAAGAATAAAGGCAGCCCATAAGTTACACTGGAAATAAACATTTATAGGAAATAAGCATTTGTGAGTTACCCCACCTTTATATAAAAAGATCAAAACATTATCAATGACACACCTTCGCCTCCAAATCCTCGATGATCTCGTTAATCCGTGCTTTAGCAGCTTCAATGCAGTCTTTGGGTCCTTTCAGGACGACGCGGTCACTGCTAACACCCTGTCGCGGGAAGGAGATCTGGACACCCCCGCAATCATCCGCGATACGACGCAGCACCTCACCTCGTCTTGCGACGAAGTGTCTATGATGACGCGGAGGGACAGCCATCTCACCCTCGGCGACGTTGCTTATCTCCGCTATTGCAGCCTCCAGTTGCTTGCGAGCCGCCTCAACCTGTTCTTCGCGCCCTGTTTTTAACACAAATCATCAGTCAGTGAAATCAACTCACTAAAACAAAAGCCTGTATTAGGACGTGTCTGATTCAACATTTTTATCTACTTTATGTTTAGGAGTATTCAAGCTCTTATGAATGGCAAAAATTAGTGAAACGGTTATTAACTTCGCCCAACAATTAATAATAATGAACAATTTATTGTACCGATAATGAAAATAGCTTCTTTGTCTTCATCTTTCTCCGTCGGAAATACGATTCTCGCTCCTGTTTGTTCACGAATCTTCTTAATGTTTGCCCCATTCTTTCCTATAAGGAACTTGTGATGCTCAGGCTTCGCGCGCACAGTAGCCGTGTGAGACGTCAATTCACGTTCTGACGCGTGTGCTAAAAGCTGTTGCTTTGCTTTCTCCACATCCTCAATGGGCCCTTTGATTATAACCTTGTCGCTATCACTGTCAGTTGGTGGGAATTTAATTAAAACACCACCACACTCCTCCATTATGGAATGAATTAATTTTCCACCGGCTCCGATCAAAGAGTTATAGTACTTTGGTGCAATTGTTACTTCCTCAGTCACAATATTAGCTTTTTCGTTATGTATCTGTTGGATTCGTCGGACGGCTTCTTCCACATTATCACGTTTTCCCCGCACGGTGATTACATCGCTATCATCGCCCTCGGCTGGAAGATCAATAACAGTTTGTGTTTCATCTCGTATTTTTCGTAAGTTCGCACCACCTTTGCCAATAATAAATTTATGGAACTGTTTAAAAATAGGCACTTCCTGCACATGTGATGACTCTGCAATTTCTTTAAAGACTTTATGTAAGTATTTTTCACATTTTTCGATGTCTTCTTGTGGTCCTCTCAATTTGATAGGGCTTCTTTTCTGTCCCTGATCTGGAAGCGTGATAAGCACACGGTCAAATTTTTCTCTGATTTCTTTAATTTTTTCACCTCTTACGCCAATTAGGGACTTTATGTATCTGTGGTCTACATATACTTCTTTAGTTCTTTCGTTCTCTAACTTCATAACCATTTCCCTTAGTTCTCTTTCAGCATCAGCAACACCTTTATGACTGCCTTCAATGCGGATAACGTTAGTGCCTTCGTTTTCGATTATATTTATAACTACACCAGTCTCATCTTTCAGTCTATTAACTGTGAAGAAAAATAGAGCATCACTTAATTAAGATTTATGATGGGTTCACTATGAATTATATTGAAAAAGATATATAACTTACTGTTAGTTCCATTTTTACCAATAATGTGTTTGAAAAATTTCGGGTCAACTGATAGTTCAACATAAGTAAGGGTTGCAAGTAAATTCTTAACAAAATCATCCAGTTCTACTTGGGCTCTTTCAACTTCTTCTGGTGGACCATCGATTTTAACCTTATCTTCAGAGTGTGTAATGTCTACATGAACCTGAAATAGGAATTTTATGTATACAAAACTAATTACTTCTATAAAGTGAGATTTTGTTTCAGTGTTTTTTATTTTTATATTCATACATTGTAATAATGTTGAGTAAAATGTACCTTTGAAAAGTCCTGAGTAATTTTTTTGATGTTGGAGCCATTTTTTCCTATGATATATTTATGAATCCACGTTGGTGCATCAACAGTAGCTGTTTTCACTGAGTTTGCTTTATCACAAACCATTGACAGTGCTTTAAAAGAAAAACACATTAAAAGACAAATGAATATACATTAGCCGCATCTTAGTTTCATCTCTATTTTTACTCCCTTTGAATTTAAAAATGCTTTTCTTTGTTAAATTTAATGTTGCAAATACTGACTTGATTGGACAACAATATTAAGTGGTATGTAGATCCATCATACACATCCTTCTTTATAATTTGTTTATTTTTCTTATAATAAACTAAAAAATAACAATACTGTTGACTTATTTTAATCTATAAATTTTATTGATGGCTGTCATATGCATTGGTTAAATTTAATAAATGACTTATAAAATGTACAAGGAACCTTTTGATCCCTTTGATCATTAACCTTTAAACTTTCCTTTTGTACCACTATCTTAATGAATATACCAATTATAAACATTCATAATATACTTTAAGTGGTCCCATTAATATTCCGAAGAGGCTAATTATAGACATGTACCTGATTCTCCTATCCATAAAATCCACATATGTTGTGCCTCACTATATCTACAAAAACTTTAGTAAAGCTCCATTTTTAGTACTTGTTAGTATTATTGTAACAATATACTCTTCTTACATTAATACTAAATCAAAGTTAAGTGCAATTGAAATAATATGTTACTTATACAAAAAATATTACATTTTCTATCAATTGTAATTGTAATAGGTACCTATGCCAATTTTGTTATGAGGCCCATGTAAAGTAATTGTTCCAGTAGGTGAATCAGGAGGAGGCATTTCAACAGAAACTCCAGTTTCTCTCAGAATTTCTTGAATAGTTGTTCCTCTAGCTCCAATGACATACTTGTGTTGAGATTTTGGAACCTCCACTCGAACAGTTGAGCATTTGTTAACCTTAAAAAAGTTGAGGAAATATTTATGATTTGTTATTAAATATTCAATAAAAATGTTTATCATGAAAATTTAAAAGTAATTTTAGTGGTACAGTATTTTTCATCATGCATTAAATATTCTTCATCATGCATTTTATTTGTGCTTCTGTTATGTAGCATATTAACAGATTAGTACTGTATGTTAATATATTGTAAAAAATGTACCATCTCTTGATAAATTTGCTCAATTTGGGCCTTTGCTGCAAGCACACCATTTTTTTCTCCTGCAATAACTATTTCATCGCTCTGGGTAGATGTGGGTGGTATATGAATACGTGCACCTGTCTCTGCACTCAAAGCTGAAGACCGCTCTCCAAATGGCCCATGGATGAATGGATGATAAATTTTAGGTATTGTTATACGTTCCAATGCCTTGCGTGACTGTAACATTAAACATTATTTTTAGTTTGTGTACTTACTATTTTAGATTTATTAACAGGAACACAGAAAACAAAAAAAAGGAATTATACCTGTTCCTCTGAACAAACTCGTATTTCATGTTCAGCCTTTTCAATTCCCTCTTTTGTTCCAGTAATCGTTATGATTTCACTATTATCGGAAATACTAGGCACACTGATTTTCGTAGCTGTTACTTTTTCCAAGTCTCGTAGTTTTTGACCTTGCTTACCAAGAATCCAACGATAATGTTCCTTGGGAATGGATATTTGCTTGCTTGCCTAAAATATACAAATTTTACACAGTTTCCTTTATTACGGCGCTGTATGCAGTAAAAACAGGTTTTTCAAAGTTTTTTTAACAAAATCTATACATTTTATAGAAGCAAATAAAATATATGTTAATCTTGATCTTACATTCTAATGGACCATTGTTTTCAAAACATATTCTCGATAGAAAAAAATCACGAACCTACCTATAAACAATGTGAAATTCAAATAAAAAAATAGATATAATAAATGAACAAATCTTAATAAAATTAATGTCAGTGGTGTAGAATATATTAATAAAAAGGACTGTTCTCTTAATTTGTTGATTGAAGTAAGATATTTGTAAATATTAATTTAATTCATTAAAATTAATTCGAACGTGATGGCCAAAAAACCGCGCCACCGCGGCGTTGTTTCGGTTCTCTTCCAACTCCACACGTAGAACAGAGAGCGTTGAGGCGCCTTGCTAGATGGACCTATCAGCTGCTTATCGCCCGCTCACCGTTACGAAATATGTTTCGTATTTATTTATTATTGAGTTTTAATTTTATTAGACCTTCGAAAACACGAAACTAAAAAATATATATTCACATATTTCGTATTTATAAATTATTTGTATGTATTAACAGTTGTTAATTAATTTATTTAAAGCATAATTTCAATCTCGTGATTGATTGGTCTATCAGTCCTATACATACACAGTGGACCATCGTTCGTTATCGGATTGGGTTCAAATCCCTAAATTTTTTCTTGTACTTATTGTTGATTTTCTTATTTGGAAGTATTTCTTAATTACCATTTAATTATTGTTGATTTTTTTTATTTTCATAAATAATTACAACGAAATATCGTATTTGTTTAAAGTTGAAACAGTTGGAGAACAATCTATCAGTAAATAAACTAACTTTTAGTATTCAAATTTTTTAATGTCATCTATTTTTTATTAATTTATTTAATTGTTCACCCTAAAACGAAAATTTATCATATACACTTATTTTATAATTTTTTTATAATTTGTTTATTTCCCAAATTGAGCCATTTTATAAAATAAAAACAAAACAATTAGGCTAACAAATTAAAAGTGAAAATAATATAAAAAATACAACTCCACTCGATGAGCGGTTTGAACTTGGGACTACAGCAATAGTTTACCGTTGTGTATGACGCTCGGACCAACAGGCTACGCGAGGTCTGTGTAAAGTTCAAACTTTCGACAAAATTTCGATTCTAGTTATAATTGCTGTCGTTTATCGATACGAATAAGGATTTTATCGATAGTTTTTTAAATTTCATTTTAGTTGAAAAAGTAATATAACATAGTAAGTCTTGAACATTTAAAGGATAAATTAAAATTATAATATTAATATATAAAAAATATGTAATAAAAAGTTGTATTCATAATTTCTGCAAAAATTTTATGAGCCATTTCTTTAAAATCACAATATTAACCATAAAAACAAAAAATAGTAATTATAAGTAATTTGCCTTTATTAATTTATTTATATCAATTCCTTTTCCATTTAATTAATAATTAATAATAATAGGAAGAAGATTTTCTAAAATTGTTGATTGCTTTCTCATACTTTATATTTGTTTATTATTATTCCTATTATAATATAAATGTAAAATGCGATCATGGTCTATAAAAGATATTATAGGGATCATCTGTGTATATTTTCGAAAGCCATGATACCATCGATATTATCCTACGGCCCATCACTACACACACACTAGGTAATGAATGACTTGGTCTAGCGGTGCGTCGACGAAACTCGCGCTGCTAAGTGGCGTTACTCCTCCTCCGCTTCCTCATACTTCACCACCCAAGTACTTAAAAATTCACTGCATACATCGCCTTAAGTAGATATAACATTCAAACATTAGGTAAATCAAGACTTAACTAACCTGCTGTTGAAAATGAGTCAAAATCTGCCTTCTTGCATCCAAAACTGCACTGTGCTTTCCAGTGATAAGGAAAGTTAAACTTCCATCCTTACTAGTAGATATTTCAATATGGGCTCCAGTATCTTTAGTAATAGCTTGACAAGTTCTCAAAGATTCACCCTCACCAAAAGTATTAGCATTGTCTAGTTTTCTTTCTTCATATGGCACATGGAAAACCTATAATATGAAAGTTATGTACAATAGTTTTATTTGGCTAGACATATTCCACATAATATGTTGAAAATATACCGATTACGTAAACACATTATGGCATTGACTAAAGCTAAAGCTCAATCAGGTTTATATTCAGTTACAAACTAGATTTTTCTTAATCTTTAGATTTAATACTGTACTTAAAATTTAAAAACAACTATTACAGGATTACTAAGACCTTTCTGTAATCCACGAAATTAAATGAAACTTCTAGTAAGTTACAACACAGAAAATGTCTGAAATACAATATAATTTGCATATGATTTCTATAATATACTGTAAAAAAAAACCAAAGAATTAGAAAATTCATTTTTGTATGTAGAAATCAAAAATGAATGCATGTGTTTAAAGATGCTCTACTGAATGAAAACTACAAAAAGTTGTAACTTTTCAAGTTTTGATTATGATTATTATGAATATACTCACTAGAAATATAAATAAATTAATATACCTGGGTATGTAGAGATGAGCCAACTCGTAGCTTGTTAGTAACTTGCTGAATGTTACGTTGTACAGGAGGTTGGGAATGGGGCAAAGCAGGGAATAAATCATCATAGGCATAGGAGCCACTATTGTCGTAGCCCACATTATTCATTTCTTCAGTATGTATAGGTATATCAGAGTGAACAGGAATCATTTCTCCAACCATCATGGGTTGCTGATGCATCATTTTTCGTCGCCTCCAGCAGTCCTTGTCCGCGCCAAGTCGTTACAGTACTATTAAATGATACATTATGAAATCAATTACTCAACATTTGATATAATAATAGATTTAGGATCCAAAAATAAATTTTTAATAAAATGCAACACTTGTTTGCATTGACTGCTCTTGTGATTTAATATTTACACAAGTGCTGAATTCTTATGAATTATTTGAGAAATGATTGTTATATAAGTGACCTTCATAATATTAGTAGAATATACTTATCCATTTGGCAAGATTATAATCATCACCATTCGCAACATACAATGGTAGCAAATTTAGTAGTAATTATTTTTTATCCATATCAGCAAACTTATCATCACCAATAATTAATCTGATATATGTATGTATATCATTAAAAAATATTTCTAACAAGATTTTGGACAATGTATTTCAAAATAATATGTTTGACATGATGTAGTATTGTTTAACAATTTACATAAATTCAATTCAATTTTTCTTGAAATGGTTAGTTTTTGAGGACTTAGCATAAATTTGGTGGACTACAGTTCATAAAAATTGCCTAAATTTTATAGGCAAGTTTTCTAGGCAGAACTTTCTTTTTTTGAAGCGTCTTAATTTTTATAACAATCAAATCACTAATGTTTTGCTAATAATTTGTCAAATCCATTTGTCTATTTTATTTATTCTTATTACAATGATATAAATTGTATTAGTTATAAACTTGTATTTTAGTGCGACACATAACACAAACTTCAATATTTTTATAACAGACTTAAAATTTATCAATAGCAAGAAAAGGTTTTTTAATACTAAAATATTTTAATAACCTGTGAACTAAGGTAATAATGATAATAAAGTAATAACTATAACTAGGTATATAATGATAAATAGTGTTCTTTAATAATAATGACATATAAAAAAATGATTGTTTTATCAGCTAGTTAATTTCAATAATATCATGTGTACGAATTTGAAGATACGTCTTAGTAGTAATTACAATTATAAGTTAGTAAATATCAATTTTGTAAAAATCTAAGCTCACTACGGCCACACTAAGTTTTAGAAAAGTGACAGACTTGGTCACAGTAATATAAATAAATATTACCGTAATATACGACCATTTAGGACCTATAAAAACTAAAAGAATAAACGCCGCTTTAAAATTGGATGAAATTTTAAATACGTAGCTACAAAATTGTGATAATACGTGTCACCTTATTCCAACACATTTGACGTGGAACTCGTCTTTATAAATTATAATAATACTAACCCTAAGTACTGTAGCAAATCAACCTGGAAATATTATGCTTTCGACGCCAGGATCGAATTTTTCCTCCTGGCGAAAAAGATTAAAATTTGATTAAAATATCGAAAAAAAACCAAATTATTTTTTTTTAACAGACAAACGTACCCAATGCTGCCGCGAGCAAGGAGAACATAAGCCAGGCCACACGGCAGATTCTTGAAACACGTTATCTAGCGTGGCATAGATTAAAAAAAATTATAATAAACAATAATTATTTCTTTAAATTAGAAAATGGTTTAGGTGAGGCGGTCTGCAAAAATTCGTTATATGATAATTTTATTGCTCTTTCCTATTATATATATTTTCTGGTCTATTTTGAAATATACAGAAATCTAAAAACTACCCCTGAGTAGTTGGTATGATCTTAATCTTTTTTTTTTGAGGTAATACAATATTATGCGTGAAATCGGGAGGGCCTATGTTCGCAGTGGACTCGAACAGACTGAAGTGATGATGAAGATGACAATGACGAAGTGCAGTAAGATTATAACTCGACAGATTCGTCATGGTCATAATCTAATTTGTGAAACTTCCAAAAATAAGGAACAATTTAAAATTTTCCCCTAACAACAAATTCGTTTCACACCTGGCAAGAGACAGATGAACAGTGGTTAAGCTAATGCTTCGGCACCGTGGGTCATGGGGGTCTGATCTAGGACAAGTATTTGTGTGACTCACAGATAATTTTTGAGGATCCGGGTTATTTTTCCAATTAAGGGTCAAAACAGCCGGTCGTACAAAACAAGTTTACTATTAACAACCTTATTCAAATCTATTAGCAGTCATTGTAGAACGTAAGAAGTTTTTAACTCTCTTCAAACATGAAAAGGATCGTTCTGCGCTACAGTTTGTTACAGCTAATGTCATAAATATTCGTTAGGCGATTTCCACGTTGAAACTCAGTGTACAATTTCTAGGCGTACAATTATAATTGTACAATTTATAGGCGAATTCTGTCATTTTTAGCGTCATTTTTTCATTGCAATAAGCATGGAAGTGCACAAATTCGTCATCTAATGAGGATTCGAGATCTGAAGAATAAACATTTCTTAAACGATCAGCTCGTTGCCAAATTCAGTGATAACTGAAAACTTTCCCTGATTTTTTTCATATGCTGCACATCTTTTGCGCTTTGAGATATTCAAGCAGTTTATTAACGAAGCCCCACAAAAAAATTAAGAAATTTGTTAAAAGAGAAAAAAATGTTATTTATGTCCTATTTCCATAAAAATATGAATGAATTTTCAAGAGATAGGCACAAAAATATTTTTTTTCTTGAAATTATAAAATAATTTTGTAGACAAATGAACGTAATACCTAAATGTCGAGATTTTTGTGCTGTGTGGTAATCGGCCGCTTAGCTTACTTGGTAAAGCATTTGGGCGCGAAACCATAAGACGCAGGTTCGAATCCTGCAGCACCGAAACTTCTATGGGGGAGGCCTATGTTCAAACAGGCTGAAATGATGATGATGAATACGTAGATAGCTCATTGTCCGGGCGCTCGCTTTTAATACCGATTACTGAAGCAACCTAAGTTCGATCCCCGGTGCCGGAACCAATGAAATTTTTAATTTTAAGTGCTGAATTATCACGTGCTCAGCGGCGAAGGAAGACATGGTGAGGAAACCTGCATGTTTTAGAAATAATAAAAAAAATATTTCAAAGATATTATATGAATTCCGCCAATTAGCAAATATGAGGTCTTTGCCCAGTAGTGCGACATTTAGAGGGTGTTACTTTACTTATTTTTTTTTACGTAGATAAATGTCGACATTTCTGCGCCGTGTGGTCATCGGCCGCTTAGCTTTCTTGGTAAAGCTTTTGGGCGCAGAACCAGAAGACGCAGTTTCGAATCCTGCAGAGCTGAAAGTTTTTGTTCATTATCTACAAAAATTTACAATTTCAAATTTCATCTTCAGTGCAGAGACTAGCGCTAAAACTAAAAATTAATAGTCAAAAAAAATATTTTTACCATCAACTAGACTGAACAATTAACCTTTTATGGAACAATGTATAACTTATACAACAAAAAATAAAAAAAAAATGTAAAGGAACGTTGGTGTAGACTATTATAATTTACAATATTAGATTGCTTAAATGATAACATTTACTGTAAATTAATTGATCTCCCCTAGATCTTTGCATGAGGTTAAATATTTTATAAAAGTTTCATTGTCAAATATTGGGAAAAGAAAAAACAATTTTCGAACCGATTTTTTTTTGTGCGTTCTTCAGTGAATTTTCATGTCCGAAATGGACGGGCTTTTATGAATAATGATATTTGAATTTGTTAGCCGAGTTCCAGTCATTTGATTCATTATCAACTTCTTGTTAAATACCTAGTTCAATGGTAAGTAAAGATTATTTTTATTATTGACATCAAAGTGGCCAGGTTCACAAAACGCCAAATTCTTTTGTAAGCATCAATGTTTGTAACTACATAAAATATGAATAGATATAGATTATAATGTCACTATATCGTGAATAGTATAAACTAGTATTATGTATAAACATAATACTAGTTTATACTAATGTACCCTTATCCATATCCTCTAGCAAAATGGTAAACATATCGCAACCTCCCGTTCCATGGTTCATCATGCACCTTCACTATACAAACCAATACTGAAAAGGTATATCATATATCAGAAGCACTCCTTCTTCGATATGCTCAGATTTACTTGTTTCTATTACAACCAAGTTTACAGCCGAAGAGAAAATCTTTCAGACTATAGAGAGCTTGGTAGATAAAATATTTTAAGGCAATTTCAGCAGAACCGACGTAAAGCGGCGACAATTCACCCAGAACTCTATTGGGTCTGATTTTCTTTCTAGTAATGGTTGGTCCCGATACTATTCAGAGTTCATTAGGGACACAACAAGAGCTTGATACTTCCGCTCTATTTGTGCTGAGGGATATGATTTTTTCATGTCTACTCCAAATTTATGATTCACTAGGTTCTGGTGTTGCTTGAATTGGCTTTAAATCTGGAAAACTTTTTTTACGATTGTGCTCTAAGTAAATAGAGCTCTAGGAGCGAGTTACACTAGGTAAAATCGAGTACGTTGGTTTAAAGTTGACACGTCTTTAACAGAAATGGAGCTTACGCGTGAACATTTCCGTGCCATAATTTATCACAATTTTCGTCGCGGCTTATCTCAAGATAAATGTCTCAGCGAACTTGTTTCGATTTATGATGTTGAAGCACCGAGTCAAACGACAATGTACCGCTGATATGCTGAGTTCCGACGCGGTCGTGTGTCGCTCAGCACTGTTTCTTCTGCAGGTCGATCAAGAACAGTGGTCACGCCTGAAAACATCGCAGCTGTGCGAACTATTATATTAGATGACCGTCATGTGACATACGAGCAGATTCGGGCTGTTATCAGTATCGGAATGACTGCAATTCAGTCGATATTACATAATGAGCTGTGTGTAAGAAAGCTAGTTTCCCGCTAGGTTCCCCACAATTTGTCCGAAGAGCAAAAGGCGGCTCGTATAGATTGGTGCCGGAATACTCTGCAACACATCAACAGAGGGAACTCAAATACCGATTATAATATCGTCTCAGGTGACGAATCATGGATTTATTCATACGAACCTGAAAATAAATATCAGTCAGCAGTTTGGGTCTTCGAAGACGAGGTCAAACCAACGAAAGTGGTTCAATCCCGCCGCGTGTCAAAGAAAATGGTCACTACGTTTGTCTCGAAAAATGCCCCATGTTGCTATAATTCCTTTACAGGAACGCAGAACGGTTACCGCAGGTATATCACGGTTTGTTTGCCAGAAATGATAGCCGAACTCCGAAGAAATAACTTGAAACGTCGCATCATCTTACATAACGATAATGCGATCTCCCATACGGCTCTGAAGACAAATGATTTTTTGAAGCAGGAAAACGTGGAGCTGATGAGCCATCCTCCGTACAGTCCTGACTGACCTGAACCCAAACGATATCTTTACATTCCGTAGAATGAAAGATTTATTACGCGGTCAACGGTTTGAATATACCGAAGCAGCTGTGGAAGCGTACAAATCAGCCATTTTGTCAACATCAACTTCAGACTGGAATTACTGTTTTAATGATTGTTTTGCACGAATGGAAAAGTGCATTAAGTTGAACGGAGAATAATACTTCGCAAACAAAAAAATACAATTTAGCTAAACCGTGCATGTGGTTTTTCTTATTCCCGATCATTTCAGTGTGCACTTCCATAACAGTGACAAATACCTGTTACAAAATAACAACCTGTTAATTCATACTATGTTGTGATAATTTGTGTCACTGTTACCAAGTAACATACAGTACACTATAACTATTCCCATATGGCAACATACTGTAACAGCTATTACAGTATGTTACCATATGGGAACAGTTCGCTAGTTGTTTATGTGTTTACTTCGTTTGTCCGAACCAATTAACAGGTAAAAGAAATTATCATGTTGCACGACTGTACTTCTCTTTCGAACAAGCTATATGAACTACGCAAGAAAAAGAAAGACCTTATACAGTGAGTGTTCAGTAACAACTGTGACATAATGTAACAGTTTTTATCACTTTCAACTAAGATAACAGTCGTAAGCATAAATAAAAAAAAGCTTGTGACAGCGTGATAAGGAACAATTTGTGTGGAACAGGAACTGTTGATTTAAGTTTGTTCGTAACTGGTATACACCCAGTTTCCGAAAGCGCAATCAATTTTAATTTACGATAAATCTCTTGACAATCGTTGTTTAACATGATCTGAGTTGCTAGTCGTTGTTTAACATGATCTGAGTTGCTAGAACGTCTTAAATAACATTGATTTTGATTTGCAATTAGTCACTGATTAACGGACAATCAACAGAAAATCGAGTTTCTGAAAGCGTTTTTCGGTGGTCAAAGAGCTGTCAAAAGTTTTATGTAATCTGTCAATTTGGACGATCAATCGTTGGTTAAAAATGTTATTTCTCAAAAATCTTAGTTTTTATTAAAAATAAACATAATTCCCTAATACGTTGTTAGGACATTCATGTGTTCTATTACCTATTTATTATTATGCGAACATATCATGTGATTAGAAAAAATACAAAATGCAATTCAAAAGTTAATAAATAATATGGATTCTTTCTTTTTATAATACTTACTTGTTTATTATGGATAAAAGTTAATTTTTTCACTTTCTGTCAAGTTTTTTTTTGACATTTTGCATATCTTTATATAAATAAAATTTTATTATAGCTCGGATTTTTACGTTGGCAATCACACGGTGACAGGACTGGATAGTGACCTTAATTTAAGTTTTGTTTAAAAAGGGACAGCTATACAATAGAAAGAGTAGGTTGAAGTAAATCATTCATTTTATTCATTATCATTGGTTATACAGTGATTAGCTAATTTTTCTTGAACAAACCTTCCAGAAACCCAAGGCAGTTTAACAAGAGGTTAACAGCTGATCATTTTTGACATAGTGTTATGTGATTGCTGCTTTGATTGGCCTTTCGGAAACTGGGCATTAGTCTGTTATCTCAAGATACCTATAACGATAAATACGCCTCACTCCTAATCATTGCTTATATTGCTACAAAAACGTTTGAACTAAGGGTATAATATTGCAAAGCTCGCACCGGCGGTAATAAAAATATTGAGTTTAATATTAAAATTAAATATCGAATATGTATCGATAATTGGAAATTAAAAATATCGAAGACATCTATTAATTATCGCTTTTTGATATATCGATATTTTTGCCCTTCCCTAAACACTTGACCGGTGATATAAGGGCGTTAGGCCAGTGGTCGGCAAACTTATTAGCCAATGAGCCAAATATGTGTTCATATTACAACAATTTTTTTTACAACAATTGGCTCTTTACAACAATTTTAAAAAAATGGGAGCCAAATCAGCTTATTTAGTCAACTTTTATTACACTTAATAAATAGTAGTAGCTTGCATCTCCTTGGAAAGTATGAGTAAGTAAGGTTTGTATATTGTTGTTTTTATGATGGCATGATTACAAGTTCTCATCAATAAGATGACTTCTCAGTTTACTCTTGATAATGTTTATGCTTGAAAAAGATTGTTCGCATATGCATGTAAAACCCAAAAGGGAAAGAACAACAATCGGGAGTTTTATCAATGGATCGTAAGAGTCAGGAATATTATTCCAAGCGTTGAAAATGATCATGTCATTCTTGTCCAGTTCATTCAAAGCAGAGCACTTGTGTTGTGAACTAAGATCACATTTGTCCTTCTCCCAAAAGCGTTCGAATTGAGAGCGCCATATCTCTTTGTTTTTTAAATCCAGCAATTTTTTGTCAATTTCAAAAGGAGAAGATTTCAACCCGATTATCGGATTGTGGGTCTGAGACGCCAATTTGTACGCCCACTTAAAGTCAAAGTCAAATATCTTTATTCAATATTTTATTTTATTCAATATTTAAGCATTCACTTACTTTTTTTTAAAGTTTTTATAGTGCTAATCTCTGCACTTAAGATTGAACATTAAAACATGTAGAAAAAGTACGAAAAGATTGTCGCCGCTGTGGGAATCGAACCCACGTCTTCGGCATTCGCGGCCTGACGCTCTAGCCACTGAGCTAAACGGCTGATAGCCACAGCGACGAAAATCTTAACGCCTTCTTTCTACATTGTTATTTAGCATTTGAAGCAATGCTTGGCGCATCTATTGTTATATCCTTTCCAGCATACAAACAATTACAGTTTACGAATCGTCACTCTCCGAAGACGGAATGGGGGGTATGTTCGACGCCGAAACAGTCTCGGCTTATAGCTCTCCTAGTCCTTTCTCTCCAAATCCCTATGTCATGATGAGGAGGTCGCTTAAAAGACCGTACCAGCAGATGACATCTTCGGATTCGGATTAGATAAGAATAAATTTGTAATAAGTAATAATAATAATAACTATCCTGTTTTTATTTTTCTAGATATTGGTGCAGAAGTTGTACTGGCTGCATCAACCTCGCCTTGTACACGGGGGCCATCTAACATCAGTAATAATGCATTAAATTTGGTAACTGTAATAAGGCCACGCAACACCTTCTGTTGCACGAATGGGTAGGCTCGTCGGGGTACCATATCCTTACAGAACACCGGAGTGAAGTGAAAGTATGAAAATTTCGCGTTTCTTCTGGTTATGTTATAACCGCGTTCGCATTTTTAAAGGTTGTCAACACATCAGCAAGCCATCGGGTGTTGTAGATGTATAACATTAAAAAATATACTAGTGCATAATACAGATCAAAAATAACTAATGTACGTTAATCAAATACGTTTCTGCATATCAAAGTATTTATGTCGTATTATGTTGTTCCAGGTGTCATCGACCACGACTATTATATTGACGTAGAAAACTGGTTAGCAGACGTATGTAAAAGTGGGGACGAGTTAGAAGTTGACGTTGACAATGACAATTCTGCTATCCCATTTTTTGACTTTACCACAGACGAACCGGCATGTAACAGTGACCTAACAGAACTGCAAGAGGAAGTGTTACAGAGGGAAGATGTCGCTAATGATGCAGCATTACGCGATATCGCGCCCGATGATTGTTACACTTTCGCTTGGAGTAAGGACAGAGAGACTTTTCAGGGACGACGTGAAACATTCACAGGTACATCTGGACCGACTTTTACTTTGACGGACCAAACCGAACCGACAGACATTTTTGACAGGACTTTTGACATGGACTTTATTGACCTTTTGTGTACGGAGACCAACAGGAATGCGGAGCAAAAGATATCTTTAATGCGAGAACTAAACAAGCTAGCTCCGCATTCCCGTTTCAACCGTTGGTCTCCTACAAACAGAGACGAAATGTTGACCTTTTTAGCAATATTAATATTACAGGGTCTATATCTTTCGACGGAGGAAGCAGGATATTTTTCTTTTAATGGCTTTGGTACATTCCAGTACTTTTCCAAAATCATGTCGTACAATCGTTTTTTATTGCTAAAAAGTTTTCTTCATTTCGTCAACAATGACACTTTGCAGGACACGACCAGACTTTGTAAAATACGACCCGTGATTGACTACTTTAACGCTAAATTTTCCAGCCTATACATGCCTTCACAAGAGATAGTCATTGACGAATCTCTTCTGAAGTGGAATGGGAGACTTAGTTTTGCTCAGAAGATTTCGTCGAAGGTCGCACAGGTCGGAGTGAAGACGTATGAGCTGTGCGAATCTTCAAGTGGCTATCTCTGGAAGTTCTTTGTATATGCTGGAAAAGACAAGCCGACATTGACTACTGACGGAATCGACGGACGGGATACAGAATTAGAACTGACAAATGACAGACCAATCGGGAACGATGCTTTTGACAGATTTGACGATGACGGGACTAGCGACAGACTTACGACTGGTGGAAGCGCAGACCGTCCCATGAGCGCTACTGCCGTAATTGTGTATAAATTAATCCAACCACTACTTCACCTTGGACATACTGTAATAATGGACAATTTTTACAATAGTCCATTATTACTACGGACTTTAAAAAAACAGAAGACAGACTGCTACGGAACATTGAGATTGAATCGAGAATTCGTTCCTGATTCGATCAAGACTTTGACAAAGACAGATTTACGACGAGGTGAAGCAGTGGCCACGTACTGTTCCGATCTGTCGATTTTGGTATGGCGAGACGCTAATTTAGTTAGTATGATCTCTACATACCACAATCTTCAAATCGGGGACTCACGACAAATATAACAGACAGAAATACAAACCAAGCATCGTTCTCGATTACAACAAGAGGATGGGGGGAGTTGATAGGAAAGACCAATTCCTGTCGGCTCATCCTATGGAACGTATTAGGAATAGGGTGTGGTATAAGAAACTTTTCCGGAGAATGTATAATGCGGCAATTTTTAACTGTTTTGTGATATTTTCCAGTTTTAACCGGCAAATATCACATCGCCAATTTCGTATTATACTGGCGGAAAAGTTACTTATACGACATCGACAGATCGATCTAACGATGGAACGCCGACTGTTTAACGTTAGATCGAATACGACAGGACAGTTGACGACGACTCAAAGTAGAAGAAACAGTCGACATAAAACGCATGACAGACCTATAGTAACTTCGAACCACTTTCCCATTCGTACGGGGTCGAAACACACTTGTTGTTGGATGTGCCCAAAAAAAAACCAGGACCGTATGGAAGTGCGAGGAGTGCGACGTAAACCTGTGCATCGACGGTTGTTTTAAGGCGTATCATAAGCCATAGAAATTATTTTTTTTAGAAATTAAGTTTTTTTATTTTGGAAATGTATTTTTTTATTACATATAACATGTTATTATATAAATTGTTACTTTGTTTTAGTTTTAAATTTAACTTTTTTATATAAACTCGCATATTATATTTTATAAAAAAATATTTTAAAAAAATGTCCCGCTGAGTTTCTTTCGCCGGTTCTTCTCAGGTCAGTGGTTTTTTCCGAACCGGTAGTAGTGTTTTTTTTTGTTTCTTTTAAAATGAATAAAGAAATTTTAATTTGATTATCGAATAAATACTTATCATTTCAAATATAATAAAAATGTGTTGCATATAAGAATATATATTATATACCTAAATATAATAAATATGGGTTTCAAATAAATATGTGTTATATAATATGATAAATATATATCTTGTTTACGAATATAAGAATAAATTGTACCTATTCGTGAAACAAAATATTTCTAACTAAATAATACAAAAAAGATGAATAACCCTGTGTTTATGGCCTTATGAGCGGCCATCTTGCCGTCGCATTGAAAAACAAACGAGTGTCGGATTTCAAGTGGAATAGGGTCTATGTTTATGTTTATTGTATAAAGTTTACACAATGAATGTTTACACTTTTGGTATCAAATTAAAGCTTATATTGTCTAGTTTAGTAAAGAATAAATATCAAATGAGATTTGATACAATTTTATTTGTAAAAACTTGTTTAAAAAAATATTTACGTGAAATTTAACCAATATTCTCAACTTTCATATTTAATTCTTTGTTTTGGATTAATAGTTGTACTTTAATTTACACATATTTTGATTCCTTATAGTTTCAGCTTTATATACGTATTTTTTTTTATTTCGCTTAAGCTGCCGTTATTTGCTAGAAAATATACTTTTAATCAGCCATGACGTAGGCGCTTGACGCAATTAATCACCGATCAGGTGACAAATCAGTGACGTCTATTCAGCTGTCAATAATAACCATTAACACACAAACGTTCCTTTACAAGTTTTTTGAATTTAGCAATGGATTCATTTTGAACGTTTTCTGGGATTTTGTTGTAAAAGCGTATACATTGTCCCATAAAAGATTTACTTATTCTACGCAATCTAGTTAAGGGTAGAACTAATTTATGCTTGTTCCTAGTATTTACATCATGCACATTACTAAATCTTGAAAAGTCATTCTTATTTTTGTGGACATACATAACATTAGCAAGTATGTACTGAGAAGCTACAGTCAATATTTTTATTTCTTTAAACAGGTTTCTTAGTGAATCTTTGGGGCCCAGGTTATAAACCGCTCGAATAGCTCTCTTTTGCAGGATGAAAATAGTATTTATGTCGGCTGCATTTCCCCAAAGTAGAATGCCATAAGACATTATACTGTGGAAATAGCTAAAATATACCAGACGAGCCGTATCCACATCAATCAACTGTCTAATTTTTTTGACTGCAAAGACTGCTGAGCTAAGTCTACTCGACAGTTTATTAATATGGGGGCCCCACTGCAATTTGGCATCTACAGTTATGCCAAGAAATACAGTCAAGTCAATGAGGTCTAACGATTCCCCATGTAAAAGTACATCAGTTTTTACACTTTTTCCGTTGGGAGTTGTAAATTTAATACATTTCGTTTTTTTACTATTCAACATTAAGTTATTAGCACTAAACCAATGCACTACAGTGGAGAGAGTATTGTTAACATCGTCATAATTTGAAGAATGTCGTTTAACTTTAAAAATTAAAGAAGTATCATCAGCAAACAATACTATCTCATGATCATTATTTACAAGATAGGGCAGGTCATTTATGTAGATGAGGAAGAGAAAAGGCCCCAGAATAGATCCCTGTGGAACCCCCATACTTACCAGGGCCCCGGGAGATCTCTTGGCATTCACGTCAACTCTCTGAACACGATAGCTCAAGTACGATGTCAGAAGATTGAGTGCGGCATCTCTTATACCATAGTGGTGTAGTTTCCTGACCAGAGTGTCATGCTGTACACAATCAAATGCTTTGGTTAAGTCACAGAATATACCTAAGGCATCCTGTGACTCTTCCCAGGCTTCAAAAATATTCTTCACAAGCTGGATACCCGCATCTGTTGTTGAGCGACCCCTAGTAAATCCATATTGCTTGTTATGCAGCAATTTATGTGTACTAAAATGGAGTAACATTTGATACAAAATATTTTTTTCAAAAATTTTACTAAGAGTTGGTAGTACTGAAATAGGTCTAAAATTGCTGGGGTCAGAAGTACTACAAGATTTGAACACCGGAATAATCTTACTATGTTTCATAAGGTCAGGAAACTCGCCACGTTGAATACAAATATTAAAAACAGTTGCTAAACACTACTTTAGAAAAAGCAAAGAGCATGTAATAGAATAAAAAGTATGCGCGCGCATGCTTGCGTTACCTTTGTATCACACCGGAGTACGCCGAAAACATACGAACAATTCCAGCCGGTAGCATGTACAATATAAAATTACACTCGATGTTACATATTTTTACAACAATATAAAATTTTAATAACCTAGGATCTTTTAACTTAAACAAAAAATATTCATGTTCTCGATTTATAAAAGAATTTTAATTTATCAAAATAAAATGTTTTTTTTACCAAGTTTTTTTTTTTCAAATTCTTCCGTGGATATTTGTGCCAGAGCCGCACTTAAGGAGCCAAAGAGCTACATGGGGCTTTGGAAATATGAAAGTGATTTTTTTTGGCTTGATGAGCCACTGTTTGTCTTAGGGGCCTTTACAGATCCGACGGACTTGAGGTGGCCTGGCGCTCGGGGCGCCTAGCCTGAACCTCGGTATTATGATTACGGGTTATGGTGACTGAGCTCCAGGGCTCCAAAAGATGCTTCAGCTCGGGCCGTCACGCTATTAGTTTCACCGATTTGGGAGGCGGCCAAGCTTTTAGGCCGCTTTGGCGGACGCTATAGGGAGTGACTAGGCTCAAGGGTCCCTGAGAGGGGACCTCGGATTGGACTGTCACTCAATACGCGTTTAGCATTAGAGGGCCGGACCTCGGCTCGATCAGTAGCTGTTATCTGACTGGGATAATTTCTAGATCTATCGTTCCTACCACTTCATAAAGCGTTGGCGCTGGGAGAAGAAGTGGCGGAAGAAATTCCAGCAACGCTTCTATTATTAACTGGGGAGAACCTGCCAGATACGTGGCGGTGCCTAGTATGTGTTGCCTTGTCGGTGTTTTTGTGTGTCTACGTAACTTTTTTATCCTTTCGATGGCGATAGTCGTCAGGGAAGTCTAGAACGTGTCGCGGTCTACGCTAACTGCGGCGGAACGTACCTAGAGGCATGGGTCTGTAAGTGACGGCACCTACGACTAGAGGATTGGAATGAAAGTGAAGAAATATATCGATATTTATACTAATATCAATATCGGCCTCGATATATCGAAGAGAAAATATTGATATATCGATATTTTCTGTTTAGGACCCGTTGTCAAAAAAAAAAGGTATATCAATTATTAAAATATTTGACATTTACGGATCTATGCCGAATTTGAACTGGAAAAAATATCGTTTTTGATAAGATTTCGACATTGAATATTTTATATCGATATATCGGATCCAAATATATTGGCTAAAATATCGATATTTAAAATAAAAATATCAATACATCGATATTTTTTTTGCATCTATTTTGTAAGCGTCTCGTCTCAAACATATCTAATTCTAGAATCTAGTATATTTAGTATAATATAATACGTCATTGCAATATATTATGCTCGTTGAAAATTGCGTTTTTTCTCGAAATTATAAAAAAACAAGTCAGTTTTATTTTATATATAGATTAAAATTATTTTTACTTTAATTTTTATTCTGAATTCGTCGCGGTCGGATACAGTGTTTTTTCAGTTTACTCTCTCTCTATCTCTATGACAGTGTTGTCTTTGACAAAGTATGGATTCTTTTCGGATGGTATAAGCCTCAGAATAGTAATTGAATTTTGATTGTGTCGTATAAGATAATTAGTACAAATCGTGTTATTTAGCTAATGGTACAGTAAAATGGATAAAATACCTCGAACTCACGAAGGTAACTTTTTTGGTTATTAACTTATCCTTGTCGCCAGCCATCTTAATTTACGTTCTGTACGTATGTAAATTGTTTGTGTTGTGTTTCAATCAAGATTTTTTTTATTCAAATCTGGCTTCCCATTTTACTTTTCAGTATTTAATACCAATTAATCGAGACTCGTATGTCAAAAAATTATTTACTGAAAAAATATTTTTAAAGTATTATTTAATAGAAAAATATTGGGAAAGTCGTATTTTAGTATCTTTAAAACTCACTTCTTTATCTTACTGGCTTATTGTTGAACTCGTAAATTGTTTATATTAAAACTACAAAATATTACTATAAAATATTCTAATTTCCTAAGGGTTTAACTTTGAATGCGTCATACATTTTAACATAAATAGCGAATTTAGATATGGAAACAAACAACGTTTTTATTTTATTTTATGTAAGTTGAAACAGACCTTAATATAAATATAATTTAATTTTTCTAACATAATCCTGTAGAATATTAATTGAACAGACTTAGAATCTTGTTCTAGCCTTTGCTCTTGAAACATACTTACTTAAAATTTGCATTTGTGTTTATTTCTTTTATTCATTTATTCAGCTATAGAAGCTCAAATACGAGAGATTCAACAGAAAAAAAATGAATTACCTGAAAATGGAACTGGAAAAGGAGTTTCACTGGGTGAAACTTATTATGACAGTGATATTTATGATAATGCTGGACCTTAAAAAAGATGAGTTAGCTTTTATATCCCCTGAAAATTTGAAAAAATATGAAATCCCAAAATTTGAAAAATATGAAATCCCAACATAAACATTGTTTTACATGTCAAAAATGAAACTATTTAATATTTTGTAGGTGGTAAAACTCCTGATGTTGGATCTAGGACATATACAGAGATCATGAAAGAGCAATATTTGCGTGCAGAAGAGACCGAAGTGAGTACTATAAGAATTTTAATGCATTAAAGTAGGATAACTTATTTTGATGTTGATATTGTCAAATGAAATATATGAAAGCTCCAAGACAAAGACATATATTAGTAGGTAATGCGAATACTATGGGTGTTACATACCCACAATCCTTAGCACCAAAGCTTGTTGTTGGGTAACTACTGTTAACAAAAATATCAACACATGCATTTGGTCTTTAAATCAGCACTGATAAAGTAAAATTTTAATGTTTAGAAGGTAAAACTTGCAATTTAACATTTTTTCAGTTAAGGAAAAAACTTTTGGAGAAAGCTAGGGATGGAACTTTGAAACCCGTATCTCAACCTAATGGTGAAGCAGCAAAACCAGCTGCTGCTAAACGCAAAGGGCGGTGGGATCAGAGTTCTGAAGATACACCAACCGTGAAGAAAGCAATCACAGCAACGCCCAGCTCCCAGGCTACTCCATCATGGGACACTGAGGTGAGATATATATTGATTGATAGACAATATAAATAAATTATTGGTTAATTTGTTCTAAAGCTTTTAAATTTTTAATTAATGCAGAAAATAAAAGATTTTGTCAGTACATATAATTTATAAAGAAATTTGACATGATAATATGACATAACTAGAGAGGAGCTTGGGAGGAGACTCCAGGTGCAAGTGGGCGAGGTGGAGACACTCCCGGAGCTACGCCTTCAGCCCGCGTATGGGACGCCACTCCTGGTCACGCCACACCAGGTCATGCTACTCCTGGTCGCGACACTCCTGCGCAGCACGCTTCGAGGCGTAATCGATGGGATGAAACTCCTAAAACTGATAGAGGTAAAAATTATCCAGTTTCTTGTCCCTTTATTGTTTTGTAACTTCTCCCCAAAAGTAGTTTGTGTTGTAAGAGATTACATGAACATAAAATTATTAATTTTTTAATGTGGGGGAGGTGTCCAACAAGCTGGTGGTTCACCTGATCATGAACCAGCACTCATTGATATTGTTGTGAACACCTCATAGGGCTGCAGATGCAATGCCACCTTTTAATAAAGTGGGTCCTTGTTATCTCACTCACCAAATAAAATGCAAAAGTATAACACTTCCACTTTACGCCAGTCTTCCATGAGGTGGTGGTTCTAACCAGGATGGACCTGCGCGTATAAATAAGACTACTATTTCCTAACAATTCTTTTTAGACCCGTCTAAATTAGTGATCTGGATCACTAATTAAGGGTAAGTAATTTATATCTAGCAAAACAATTCTTTGAGGCAACTGTAAATCCAATTAAAAAAAAATAATTCACAGAGACTCCTGGTCATAACAGTGGATGGGCTGAAACCCCGCGCACTGACCGAGGCGTAGGCGTTGACACTATCCAGGAGACTCCAACACCAGGCACGAAACGTCGCTCGCGCTGGGACGAGACGCCGGGTGCTACGCCTGTGCCTGCTACGCCCACCCCGTCGCATGCCACACCATCTCATGCTACGCCGTCGCACGCGACACCGTCACATGCTACGCCTACGCCGCATACGCCCATATTTACACCTGGAGGAGTAAGTCCCCTTTTTTGCCTCCACATGACAGGCCTTAGCGCCATTCTGCCAGCAACAGCCCAGACTACTGGACTAGTTTATTATGGGCTTAACTTGAATACATAATTTTCAATACATAAACGAAAAATTTCAAGTGATCTTTCTTTAGAACATCTGACATTGCCTATGTATTTACTATAGATGAATGATGACAATTTAACGGTCGAGCCATTGGATTGGCTGGATTGAGCTTTGCTTTATATTTTGCTATCTACAATTAGCATGCCTTAAGCGATTGTATGTTTAATTAGATTAGATACTGATTGTTTGTGTTGTTGCCCAGGTTATGTTCCGATTCGGACGCCGGCTCGTAAGCTGACTGCAACGCCTACTCCATTGGCTGGTACCCCAATCGGCTTTTTCATGCAGACGGAGGAAGTGGGGGGCTCGGCGGCGGCGGCGGCGCGCCTGCTGGAGCCCCAGCCCAAGGGCGGTCAGCAACTGCCCTTCATGAAGCCCGAGGACGCTCAGTACTTTGACAAACTGCTCATTGACGTCGATGAGGACTCCCTATCGCCGGATGAGCTCAAAGAGAGAAAGATTATGAAGCTTCTTTTGAAAATCAAGGTTTGAACCAATTCTTTATGTTAAATAATTTCCCTGATATAGTTTTTATATTTACGTAACATAGTTCGACTAAAGTTACGTACGAAATATACTTAGTACGATTGTTTAATATTACAAACACGCCTGTGACGCACAAAGGACGAACAAAACACAAATACTTATCCCATGTGGGAATCAAACCCTGGCCCCTAGTGCCGGAGCCAATAGCTTGTTTCACTAATTTATGCTTTAGTTAATTAATATTAATAACATAAAAATAAAATGCATTAAAAATACCACATAGCATTTGTAGCAACATATGATAACTCGATTGTTAAAAGTGATCACAGTAGCTATAATATAACTACTTTTAGTTTAAATTCATACACAGCTGGCCAAAATTTTGAGACCAATTTAAATTAATAATAAAAAATCTAAAAGTACCCTACGTTAACTCTGGCATGATTAATACTGTAAAGAATTCGAAACGATGGTAATTTAAGAAGAAATTAAATGCAATAAAATCCATAATTTATGAGATATTTACAGAATGGCACGCCACCTATGTGTAAGGCGGCTCTGCGTCAAATAACGGATAAAGCGCGAGACTTCGGCGCGGGACCGCTTTTCAACCAGATCCTCCCTTTGCTGATGAGCCCCACACTTGAGGACCAAGAGCGACACCTGCTTGTCAAGGTCATTGACAGGATCCTTTACAAGCTCGACGACTTGGTCCGGCCCTATGTACACAAAGTAAGAACTAAAGTTATACTCATTATGTATTCTTGTATGTAAAAAAAACTCGTATTTTTGACTTTCAGTTACCCAATGGGTGTAACTTAAATTAACTATTATAATATATACTACATTTTAATATCAATTTATACTACATTTTACTGACCTACAACAACCTAAACAACCTACAACCTACAATCTAAATTTAGGTATTTACTGACAAAGTTTAATATAAATAAGTAAGTGTTTTGTAGTGTCTTTTAAGTTTATTTCTTTTAATAATTAATTATTATTTTAAAAGTCCATAAATTTAATAAATTTGTTCATAAACACAAAATTTATATTTCATGCTTGAACTAAGCTTTTATTCAACCAGTATTTTATTATTAATTTATTCAGAAATGTAATTATAAAATTTATTTTTTTTCAACAGATTCTGGTTGTTATAGAGCCTCTACTGATTGACGAAGATTACTATGCTCGTGTCGAGGGCCGTGAAATCATTTCCAACCTAGCAAAGGCCGCTGGCTTAGCTACTATGATCTCCACAATGAGACCAGATATTGATAATATTGATGAATATGTTCGAAACACCACTGCAAGAGCATTTGCCGTTGTCGCTTCAGCTTTAGGTATGAAAATATTCTTTGTTATTAATTATTAAATTATAGCTGCTTGTCCTTCCTTTCTGTATCAATGACTTTTGAATTCTAAACACTCAGAAAGTATTCAATCTTTTATTCACTTAATCATTTATAATGTATACAGCAAGGGCGCTTGTGCTCTCTGCGAACATTTACGATCCAAAGACAGCCGTGAAATTTGCGAAAAATGATATATTAAAGTTATACACTTCTCAGTTAAAACTCCGACCGGTATAGTTACATGATGTATAGGTGCCAATAGTCTATGATGAGTAGCACCTTATACAGTATCTTGATACAGAATGGGTAGTCCAAAATTCAGTGCAAAAATCTATGTATAATACTGTTTTTCACTAGTTGAACCCTGAGTTTACAACATGTGAACAGTGCAGAGAGTATTTCGCTATCTCTCCCGCTCATGGGTCTATTGGGCGGGTGCGGTTCTGCGCATTATTGCGATCGATAAGCGGTATCGATAGTGTATAATTTGGTTTTTATTATTTTAGTAAATAATAAAATGTAAATAAAATACGAGTTAAAATAATATTGTATATTAATTAAATAAAAATAATTAAATGAAAAATTTATTTTATGTAATCAAAAATAATAATAGGGTAGAATATTTTAGTAAACAACGAGTTTATAATAATATTAAATGCTTATACATTTGTATATCTAAAATGCAATCTAAAGCTGCACTAAAGTTCTATATCGGAATCGTAGTCTTTTATGTTACGTTGATTTCCTTAGTCTTCATTTTTGCAGGTTCTCTGCATGCGCTCTACACATTACATTACAATGGTGTACCACCCTGTATACCGCACCGGACCGTGCACATGTGGTGCGGTCCGTAGTTTGGCAACGCCTCTACAAGCCTTCAGGTGTTGTAGATGTTCATGGGCGGCGGTAATTACTCAACATCAGGTGCACCGCCTGCTCGCTTCCCAACTTTTCACATAAATGAAAATTGAACGCAAAGCTCGTGGAAATTTGCGGTTAACCGCGACATACGGCGTGCATTATACTATATTATACGCGTGCGTTATCTATAGGCTATCAAAGTCCTGTAAGGATCGTGATTTCCATAGTCGTTTACTGTGAACCTTTGTAGCATTGAAGAAGAACCTTTGCTTTTGTGTAATTTGGGCCTTTCAGGATGTGCTCCGTCAGACAAAGGATATATCCGGGATTCGGTTGAAAACTGAATTGCTCGGGAGTAATAAGGTTGTTGGAGTGAACATAGTCAATCGACCTGTTATATGAGTAATGCACTCGGACAGCTTCCCAAAGTAATTTAGAAGTATTTGAATTTGAGTGGAAATGTGTCTTGTTGATAAATTGCACACAAAACATTTGGGTAAAAAGTGTCGGCTTAGCCAAATTACCGAAAAAGAAAATACCGCCGAAAGTGGCACGTAACATACCCGACGATTGGATAATTCTCCTTCACTGTCTATAAAATTATTAATTAAACATACAGTGTTTACTTTACCATGTTCTCTGCGGCTACAAAATCCCTTTAATAAAATCGGAAAAATTTCAGAAAATATAAATTATAAATATTACTCGAATGTATGTGAACTCCGTAAATCTGTCTAATAGACGTTCGCACCAGACAAAGGAGGCTGATCATTGGGACGCCACACGAACAATAAAGAGTGTCTATACTGTTAAAACATCTTGAGCAAATAGCGACATATTAGGGAAAAGTTCTCACACATGTCTATTTTACTAATCGTTATCGCGCGTTATCTTGCTTGCTCAATATTTCCTGCGTCTTATACCCTATAGAAACTTAAAAATTGACTACTGCTCAAACAAATACATTTTTCCAGATGTTTGCTGATGTCTATGCTCTCTTTTGTTACAATATAATGGATTCAATTTTGTATTACAATATGTCATCATGTAAGATTCTCTAAGGTTAAGAGTAGTACTCTAAATTAAATGTCAATGTTGCAGGTATTCCTTCCCTCCTCCCTTTCTTAAAGGCTGTATGTAGATCCAAGAAGTCTTGGCAAGCACGACACACTGGAATAAAAATTGTACAACAAATTGCTATATTGATGGGCTGTGCTATTCTACCACATCTCAAATCCTTGGTAGAGATCATTGAACATGGTGGGTTGATATTATTTTTGTGGCTTTATTTATTTATGTATGGTGTAACCAATGATATTATGGTATGTAGCTGTTTTTGTGTATTTTCTTTATCACAGCCTTAGCAGGTTGTTCTTAATAGAGGGAATAATTATTTTGTATGATATCTAGTGAAACATTGGTATTATTTATAAAAGAAATATAATACTGTGGTATATGGATATATGTATGTATATAATATTTATAGTACTGTGGTAGGGCCATGCAACAGTTCACTGTTGCATGAAAGGGCAGGTCCGTCCGGGTAGGTCACAACCTCACAGAAGACCGGCGTAAAGTAGAAATGTTACACTTCTGCGTTTCGTCTAGTGAGTGAGGTAGCCAGGGCCCACTTTATTTAAAGGTGGCAATGGACTTGCAACCCATCGGGTGTTGCAAATGTTAATGGGCAGCAGTTATCACTTAACATCAGGTGAACCGCCAGCTCGTTAGTTACTTTCTCACATAAAAAAAATGTTTACCATTGTTCAAGTAAAAATGTAAGAGATGTTTTTAAAAATTGCCTGATTTGTATACAATAAATGAAGTCTTAAACATAATACCACTGTTTGTTAATAAACAGGAAATCGTAAAACAAGCTTTGGGTTCTCTTATATTAAGATAGACAAGAGAAATTTCAAGACTGCTAAAGTTACACGTTGACATCAATAAGACTAATTGTTAATTGTCCTGACGTTCGCCCCCAACAGGTCTGGTGGACGAGCAACAAAAAGTACGCACAATCACCGCCTTAGCGAGCGCAGCGCTAGCCGAGGCCGCTACGCCCTACGGTATCGAATCCTTCGACTCCGTACTCAAACCCCTTTGGAAAGGTATCAGAACTCACCGAGGCAAAGGTCTGGCTGCTTTCTTAAAGGCTATTGGTTACCTCATTCCTTTGATGGACGCCGAGTACGCCAACTATTACACCCGAGAAGTAATGCTTATTTTAATTCGTGAGTTCCAGTCGCCTGATGAAGAAATGAAAAAGATTGTTTTGAAGGTTTGTTTTTAATTTAAAACCTATATACCTTTAAAAATTATTGTACCTATAGGAATAAATAATACATAATGATTTGTTTGTTTTAGGTAGTAAAACAGTGTTGCGGTACAGATGGTGTGGAACCTCAATATATAATGGACGAAATTCTTCCACACTTCTTTAAACACTTCTGGAATCACCGCATGGCTTTGGATAGACGTAACTATCGTCAACTCGTCGACACAACTGTGGAAATTGCAAATAAGGTAGGTTTAGTAAATTGATTATGTAACTCAGACAAAAGGTTTATCTTAAGTTTGTCTTGTATTATCCTATTTACTTTATCTGTGTCTGTTGTTTCTGTTATATTTTTGTTTTATAAACTATTCTGCTATTTTGTCCATTAATAAAAAACCCCACCTTGTTGTGATAAACATTTTATTTGGGACTTCTCCTTACACACATTTATGTTAAACATATTTCATAATTAAATTGATCTTCAATTTTTTGCATATTTCATCTTTCTTATATAAACGTCATTCCTATAGTATTAACTAAATTATTTTCATTGGATTCATAAATTTACTCACGCTATTTAAAATTTAAAGTAAATATTTAGCACAAGGGGGACCGGAAGAAACCGGATTAAATATTGCAGTAGTATTATAACCATTAAACAATTTTTGTTATAGGTTGGAGCTTCAGAAATAATTAACAGAATTGTTGACGATTTGAAAGACGACAATGAGCAATACAGAAAAATGGTCATGGAATCGATTGAAAAGATTCTCGCAAACTTGGGCGCCGCGGATATTGATTCGAAATTGGAAGAGGCTCTTATAGACGGCATCCTGTATGCATTCCAAGAACAAACTACAGAGGTAGATAATCAGATGACATGAACATAGTTTCCACTGTTGCATCATTTCTCAAATCTTTATTAAGATTGACCATTACGAAAGTGTAATATTAAAAATATGCTGTTTTATATATTCGCTTTACTACAAGTATAACTCTAAACTTACAAATTCTTTGCTGTCAAATTGTCATTTCCATAGTTTTGTCACTTTTTTCTTAGGATGTGGTTATGCTGAATGGATTTGGAACAATAGTGAACCAGCTGGGTAAGCGGGTGAAGCCGTATCTACCCCAGATCTGTGGTATTATTTTGTGGCGTATGAACAATAAATCCGCTAAGGTCCGTCAGCAGGCTGCTGATCTCATTTCACGTATTGCAGTGGTCATGAAAACTTGTCAAGAGGTCAGTAATATTATTTTATTTATATAAGCAATAATATTCTTTACCCACTGTATACCCAACTGTCCCAAAAGGGCAATGTTTTTCAAGTATATGCATTTTATTAATATGCTTGACATTAGTTTTTAATATTTATTAGTTCTTATATAGTTGTTGCTATAAATCTCAAACATTTTACTTTTATTAAGATTTTGCTAAATTTTTTACAGGAAAAGTTAATGGGTCATCTTGGAGTTGTACTTTATGAGTATTTGGGCGAAGAGTATCCTGAAGTACTAGGTTCAATTCTAGGAGCATTAAAAGCGATTGTCAATGTGATTGGTATGACAAAGATGACACCACCTATAAAAGATTTACTACCGAGACTCACACCAATTTTAAAGAACAGGTAACCAGCTGAAAGGCTTAATTTTTTTTTTTTATTTCAAACAATTTTATGACGACATATTTTTCTCCTGCTTAGACATGAAAAAGTACAAGAGAACTGTATCGACCTAGTGGGGCGTATCGCAGACAGAGGTCCAGAATTTGTCTCAGCCCGAGAGTGGATGAGAATTTGCTTCGAGTTGCTTGAACTTTTGAAAGCGCACAAAAAAGCAATCCGAAGAGCTACAGTGAACACTTTTGGTTATATCGCGAAGGCGATTGGTCCACACGATGTTTTGGCGACCCTGCTCAATAACTTGAAAGTCCAAGAGAGACAAAACAGGTACCTAACTAAATACAAATTGAAATATTTATTTTAATAACTCTCCTCAATTATACTGTCCAGTTACCTAGTGCTCTAGCTACAAAGTTAAAAATGTGTACTTGTTTGAAATTTAGATACCGTTGGTAATCAATGTATTGTACATTTACACAATTATTATTCATGAGAGCAATTTGTTTTTTTTAAGAGTATGTACAACGGTTGCCATTGCAATTGTTGCGGAGACCTGTTCGCCGTTTACGGTTCTGCCTGCATTGATGAATGAATACAGAGTTCCAGAGTTGAATGTACAGAATGGTGTTCTCAAATCATTGTCCTTTTTGTTTGAATATATTGGTGAAATGGGAAAAGACTACATATATGCAGTGTGCCCTCTTCTAGAAGATGCTTTAATGGACAGGTAGAAATTTAAAAATATTAACATTTTTTTAATGTATTAGCTAGCTTTATACAAGTATTTCTTGTTTCAATGGTATAACATTTACTTAATTGTGAAATTTTTTGATAAGTATTCACAATGGAGGTATTCTAGAGCTATAAATTAAAAAATGAACAGAATACAAAATCCACATGTACAAAATTAGAATTAGCTTTTACTATTTCTTTTTTTTAATTTTAAATGACAATAATATAATTGCTTATTTAAATTCAATGATACTATTTGTTTTTATCTTACAACTGTTATTGATAACAATTTTCAGAGATCTTGTACATCGTCAAACTGCTTGTGCAGCTATAAAGCATATGGCATTGGGTGTTTATGGTTTTGGATGTGAAGATGCACTGATCCATTTGTTGAATCATGTTTGGCCAAACATTTTTGAGACGTCGCCACATCTCGTACAAGCTTTTATGGATGCTGTTGAAGGCATGAGAGTTGCACTTGGGCCGGTCAAGATATTGCAATATGCCTTACAGGTATAATAATTTAAAAACTACATAATAAGTGAGACCTGAATGACTCCAATCAGTATCCCAAAATGACCCGTATCAATAACAGTCCCTTCATAACAAAAGGCCCTAAAACAGTTTTAAATAAACCATTTTGTTAAACATATAAAATCGTATAATTCATAATTCGCCAGGTTATTAAGCTGAATACTTAACATGGAAGAAAAAACCACTCAAAAACTCAATTTTATGCCCTAGTAACAGAAAAAGTTTCAACCTCTTTTTAAATATCAGTTTCTCACAAAAGTGCACTTAATCAGGTTTTTCCTGTATATCTCTGCTTCACAAAATTATCGTACCAAAGTAAACAAATAAATAAAAAAATAAATAAAACCTCTACACTCTCAGCTTAGAAAAATAATACTCCTAAACATCTTTTTCATCATACATTTTCTCAATTCTTGAAGATTTTTTAAAGTACATGATATAGACATTTGTAATTGTTGTTTCTAGGGCTTGTTCCACCCAGCAAGAAAAGTTCGAGATGTTTATTGGAAGATATACAACACACTGTATATTGGAGGACAAGATTCTTTGGTTGCTGGATACCCGAGAATACAAAATGACCCAAACAACCATTTCATCAGATACGAATTGGATTATATACTGTAAATCAACTTCTAGTATTACAGTGTTGAGAGACAAACTGTTATTTCATTTGTAAATTATGTTAATTTTCTATTCAAATTATAACTACAACTCTGCAAGCTCTCACTTTCCACTGAACAGACATAATAAAGTACTATTTGCAGTCTCTTAGAAGCAACCTAGTTCTTTAAAGAGTGCACTACAGTTATTTGGTTAATATTTTGGGCATACCTATCTTATTAAGAGGCATACATTCTGGCGGTATTCGCCACAATTACATGTCACATTATTTTCTAAATGACAATAATCTATAGTAAGATGTTGCAATTTCTTCATTTATATTGTGGGTACACTAAGCACTAAAATCACCTTGATAGCCTTCCAGTTATGTTTATTGTGCAATAATTCTACATATATCTCTCAAATATACATCTCTGTAATACAAATATATGATACGAGTTATTTACCCATAAAGCCACTATAGAACTTAGTGCTGCACCTATTCGGTTATTTTTCCCAATAAATACAATATTTAATTAAAAGTATTTTAAGATTTACGAATAAAAAAGGCGTTATCCTGAAAATCGTTTATAATCTTAGATAATATAAGATATTTCATTATAATCACTTTTTAAAAATCCACATAATTCAGTGGCATTTAATAAAATAAAAAATTGTGCCACTTTTACTAGACTACTGACACTACTAGACACACTAAAGCTAAACTAGACCTGCCAGAGAAAATCTGGCAAGAGACTGCGGTTTTATCTTTTTTTTCTTTGCGCTATTTAAGTGTATACATAAAGGATTTTATAAAATTAACAGGTGCCAGGGGACTTTCAACAGTCATTTCCACAAATCCTTGTTCTCAATGTATTTCTCGACATTATAATAGACTCTTTCCATTAAGACAGCTATTACTAAATTTTTGAAATTATTTACACTTCTTTTGTGGAAGTCACATATTCTCAAAATCAAAATCAAAATATATTTATTCAAATAGACGCTTGCGCGCTCTTATGAATCGTCAAATTTTACATCAAAGATTATGTGTATAGGTTCGTAAGGTACCACCAACGGTTCGGAAAGCAGTTTCTGTTGATAAGAGCCCGGCAATAAACTCAACAGTTGCTCTTTTTCAAAAATATCAGGGTACAATATATATACAGGTATAATAGTCTTATTCTAGCCTACGTGAGTATCAACAGTATTAACTCCACACATTGGCGTCGTCGAGATATTCCGAAATGGTATAATATGCTTTAATCATCAGTTGATTTTTAATTTTACATTTAAATTGGTCAAGCGGCAGACTTAATATCGACTGTGGGATTTTATTATACATGCGTACACTTTGCCCCATGAACGACTTATTTACTTTTTGTAGACGAAACAATGGCGTAGTAAGTTTGTCCTTATTTCTAGTGTTTATTTTATGTCTGTCACTATTCTTTAGGTAATAATTAAGGTTATGACGTATATACAAAACATTACAATAAATGTATTGAGAAGCAACAGTGAGTATATTAACCTCTTTGAAAAGATCTCTGAGTGAATTCCGGGCTCCGATATTGTAGATTGCTCGGACAGCTCTTTTTTGAAGAATAAATATAGTATTTATATCTGATGCACTACCCCACAACAAAATGCCGTACGACAAGATGCTGTGAAAATAACTAAAGTAAACAAGTCTGGCAGTGTCGATGTCTGTTAGCTGCCTAACCCTTCTAATCGCAAAAACCGCGGAGCTCAGCCTATTCGCAAGAGATGATATATGGGGACTCCACTGGAGCTTTGAATCTACTGTAATTCCCAGAAATACAGCAGACTCAACTGGATTAATGGGTACGTTATTTAATATTAAACTAAAACTTTTCCTTCTTATACTGGGAAGGGTAAAAAGAATACATCTGGTTTTTTTGGCATTTAATACCATATTATTAATAGTAAACCAGTGGAGGATATGTGAAAGCGCACTAATTCTATTATATAAGTCTACATCTACCAATGAACGATTTTTTGGTTTTAGCTAGTCTAAACCTCGGTATTTCCAGCGTGACACCACGGCCCCGACGCGATGTGGTATGTTTTTTTTGTTTATAGGTGTGTTACTTTGTACATACATGATGTTCTCAAGTATGTATAGCGCCGGGAGCGTTAAGATGTTTATTTACTTAAAAATAGGGCGAAGAGACTCGTGGACCCAAGCCGTAAATAGCCCGTATCGCTCGCTTTTGCAATACAAATATCGCGTCTAACCCAAAAGTAGACACTATAAGACATAATACTCAGAAAATAAGTATAATAAACTAATTTAGCTGTTGCCTCGTCTGTTAGTTGCTTGATCTTGAGTATGGTAAAGACCAAAGACGACAGCGCTCAACTTCTATCTAACTTAAACTTGAGTCAATGCATATTCCAAGGAATGCTGTTGAATCTTCAAGGGGTAGAATGTAATTAAAGCTAAATTAAATTTACCAGTAGAAATGTGAAATAAAAAGATGTATTTTAGTGATAATAATTGTTACTTTATTCAATAGATTATCAACCTCGAGGCAGGTCGGAGAATTCCAATACCATCAAAATATTGTTGAGCATTTAGAGAAAATATGAAACTAATCATTGAGTATCTCTCAATGATTGAAAATGAAAAATATTTTTAGTACAGCAAAATATAAAACACAATTGTTATAACAAATAAAAATAAAACAAATCAAAGTATTTTGCTGACGACGGATTGAATCACTCAGTATAAATATGGTTTCCATTAGTTTCCTCACTAGGCAAGCCTGTATCGAGGAAACCTAGATACGAAATGAGATAATTATTCGTATATAATGGTCAGATTAGAATTGCAAATTATACAAATTAAAAATTACTGTTACAAAATTACCAATTACTACTACAAATTTAAAATCAAGAAACATATCTAAACTACACTAAAAATAACAAAGCTTAATTTTATGCATTTATTATTTCATATTAGTTTCATATTTTCTCTCGATAATAATTTATAGTCGATCGCGCGATTGCAATTACGGTATTAAGTACAAAATTATTCTTCAGACCAAACCAATATTTCTGATCAAGGCGAATTCAAGTACTAGAGTAACGACTTCTTACCGCAGTCTTCCTATTCGACCGTATGTTCGGCCAAATATGTGCATTTGGTTGAACCCATATTCAGCGCACCTCTAATACAAATGAATTAGAGGTGCGCTGAATATAATTGATTGTTTGTTTCCCTAGGTTTGTGTAACGGGGACAATACCCGTAGGGTTGCAAATACGTTGCCATCTTTAAATAAAGTGGGCCCCGGCCACCTCACTTATCAGAAGAAACGCAGAAGTGTAAAACTTCTACTTTATGCCGGTCTTCTGTGAGGTCGTGGTACTAATCAGGACGGACCTGCCCATTTCTGGGTTATGGCCCTACCACAGTTCAAATAGGCAATTAAAAGAAACACGGTGTTCGAATCAAAGTTAAATATTGATCATTAGAAGCATATATTTTTGGTACATATTTATTAATACTTTTGCTTATGAAATCGAAGAAAAGAACTAAAACATAGAGTGACTAGCGATCTATATAACTAATTAAACTTTCCTATACAAAAAATCTATTTCTAAAACCTGTATAAAAATAATCTAAGAAAATAAATTAAGTATAAAAAAAATGTTTTGAGCAGCCTGGAATAAATTAAAAATATGTGTTTAATTGTTACCAAACTTAATTTTTCAAAACGAGATCCTAAATAAGGAATGGTAATACATCGCAAAAGTAAATCACTTAATTACATTACACTCATATTAATGTTATTTTACAATATAAGATTACATCAATGCTATAGGTATAGATGCATTAAGTATTTGGTGTTTAAATGGTTATAAAATAGAAAATGGTCAAATTATCCTATTAGACTAATGCACTATTATTAATTACAGCTTTCAACTTTTTATTGTTGAAATAATTAGTTTAATTAGTTTTTTGAGTATTAAAAACTTTCCAAGTAACAAAATAGCAAATTAAAATTTTTACATAAAATTGATTCGCGCCCAGGCGCTTTAAGCACTAAACAGCCGATTGCCACACCTACGAAAATCTCCTCTTTTTTTTCCGCATTTTAAGCAATGCCTGGCGTGTCTATGTACTTTACAAAATAGCATATTAATTTAGCTTAATATTACAACTGAAGCAAAATGTATATAACTTGACTGTTTATAAAAAATGAATTTACTTTCTCACATTTCATTCATATTTTTAAGGCTTTTGTTTTTACTGTTTGCTTATTACCATGTGCTACGCAGCCAAGAGAATCGTCGTGAGGAAACAAGCCATCTTCGAAGTATTAGGCCCAGGACCAGATTTAGAGGTCTGGATGCCTCTGGGCAACAAAGGAGTGGAGGCCCTTTGGCCCCAAATTATTTCTGTTAATATTTAATAAAATGCGAAAAAAAATGAAAGGAAAAGTTGTTTACTAGTCTGAATTTGTTTTTTTTTTCCGAGTTTACAATTGGGATATCCCCTATTTTCTGGACACCCCGGGGCTGTTGCGAGTTGCCCTACCCTAAATCCGGCCCTGATAATGCCGTAATACCCTTTGTTCAGAGGACCGCCCAGTAGTGCGATACATTTAGGCTGGCTTTTATTTATTTCATTATGGTGTACAGTATGAAACGTAATTTACTGAAACATTCTTGCCATTGTTTGGGATGATATTAATGAACGCGGCATTATGCGATGATTTTCTTCATATAGTCTTTCATAAATAGCCATCGTAGGGACGAGCTGTTGGTTGTCCATACTCCTATACCAAGCAACCTCCTCTAGCCGACACGTGGACAAAATTCCCGGGAAGCACTAACTGCCAAGTTGTGCCTGTTGCGGTATCAGCCGTAACGCCGAGACGCCGTTGTAAAGCACCGTCCGACCGCACGGCCCACACTTCTCTTCCGTAACTTGAAATATGTTTGAACGGTGTGTCACAATCTGTAATGTATAGAATTGTGTAAAACAATTTAAACCATACGAATCAAATAATAATACCATAAACCTGAAAGATTTTAGGGCGCTTATTGCTTTTGGGACAGGCCTTACGTTATCAGCAACATTTTGCTAATATAATGCGTTTGAAATAAGAATAGTTAAAGTTATTCTTAACCTTTGAGATTGAAAAGAGCATAGAGACATAAACCTTCAAAAAAATCGATGTGCGGGGATCCCTCGGCCCCAAAACTTCAACAGCGAATGACACAAATACATAATCTAAACATAGAGGCTCATATTAGCGCCATTTACTTACTTCAGCTGCCTCCGATGCAGTCAGGGCCCTTACCGAAGGACCCCCTAGATGAGAGAATGATTATTTAAATGATAACACACTCTGGTAATGAACTGATCGCTCCAGGCTCTTTCAATCAGAGTCCTTATATTGTATTTTTAATGAATTCATGTCAAACTGCTTATATTAAAAAAAAAAGCCCGCTGAGTTTCTTTCGCCGGTACTTCTCAGTACAGTGGCTTTCTTTTCCGAACCGGTGGTAGTGTTTTGACTATCAATAAGCGAGTGTAATGCTCCTATGTTGAATAAAGACATTGATTTTGATTTTGAGGGAACCGTGACGGGAAAAGCGGCCAGCACTTTTTTGACAAGAAAGCCCGTGGAGACCAAATTTGTCTACATTGAAACCACAAGGGCGTTGGTGTGGTAGACAAATCGCTGCCCCCAGATGGATTCCTACAGCAATGCGTAAGCTTTCATCGTCAAGTAACATTACTTGTAGCACTGACAGCCTCAGCAGCCCCTTCTGGATCAACCCCCTCCAGGTAAGGTACGCAGGGGCATTCAATGTGCCTGCCTACTCGGCCCTTTTTGGACGGCTAACGGAATCCCCCAAGTTCACTGACCAAGTTACTTGATGGTAAAGCGTGAAGCAAATAATTCGATTCTTTAGATGAGACGCCTAGGAAACGGGCACGCTCTAAATTACTTTTTAGAGATTGAAATATATCTTTCTGCATCAAAGGAACATCCCACTGTTTTTGTAGGTTTACTTCCAGTGGGATACTGCGGATAGACAGCAAGACATCCTTGCCTCCTCGGCATAGAAGTTTCGAATTGTGATTAAGGATATTATTACATAAATTATTTACGCTATGCACAGAGGAAGCAAGGAAGGCAGGTAGAGCGACACTAGAAATTTTCCTTACACCAATATCACCAAAACGAATTGGCAATGTAGCTTGAGTCCAGCCTAATTCATTAAGAGATAAATTTAGAATTTTTACAACACATTTTATTACCTTTTTATTATAAAAACAGGTAATAATATGCCTATTATTCTTTTAAATAACGGTTTGAAACTAAAAATCAACATAAATAGTATGTTCCAATTCAATCAAAACAATACTAATTATTCGAAAACTATCTTTTAATATTCACAAAATGAAATGTGTATTGTCACATCACATGATAAGTGCAGGTCAGATGCTCGCGATTATATCTATACTTACTTATAATTAACTTCAAATAAAGCTTTCGCCTTACCATCGTTTTAAAATAAAATTTAATTAATGGGAATTAACCACATATGTTCGATTGATCATTGACATCATATACAGCGTGTTGTTACAACCGCGACATTAAATTAACACATTAACTGTTCTGACGCTACTTGTCAATAATGATAAAAAATACAAACTTAAAAAAAACCATAATAAAAAAAAATTTCAAACAAATTAATTAAATAAAAAACAAACAAAATTTGTAACACCCTATATAGCTACAACTGACTGATTCATACATTCAATTTCAGAGATTTTCATTCATTGCCACAGCGTTACGAGTCTCTCCTTCTAACAGTATGTTTTATCTCTAGCTGTATACATCATAAAAAAAACACATCACCTGATAAATATTTCCACTGCGCGCCGTCTTGTCGTTCTTTAGTGATGCCAGTTCTCGCGGCGATTGCGCCATTTGTGAGTAGTACCCAAGCCACGGACTGTGTCAAGGAGACTGCTTTGGCGCCGACGGTGGCCTTCTGGCCGTAAGCGAAGCCGCATTTTGGTGCCTCAATCAGCTTCCAACTGGTACCGGCTGGATTGTCATGGGTCACGCCTTCCCTGTAATACAACTCCCCTTTGCGTCCCACCGCCCAAACCACGTCGCTGCAGGTGCTTATGGCGAGGAGTGCTTGTGGACTATTCACGTGCTCCCAATGGACACCCTGAAACATTTAAATACAAAAGTTTTACAAACATCACAAAATCATGTTTGGCTGTCAATCCCCGTCTTCAATATTACCCGTTATATCGTTAACTCAGGGACGTTATCATCCTCCTGGCATTATCCCAGTTAAGTCGGTTTGGCGCTACACGTGAAGAGTTAAAATTAAAAATAAACGCGATAAATTCGAAAAGAATAGCTTCGTTTAGTAATATCTAGCGTCCACTAACTGCTTACATGCTTAGTGTTGGACTATAAAATGTTGTGTACAAATGTGTCCTAAATATTTATTTATTATCTTTATTATTTACATATTCTTACTAATATTATAAAGCCGAAAGTTTGTATGTATTGATGGATGTTTGTTACTTTTTCACGCAAATACTACTTAATGGATTTCAATGAAACTTTACAATAACCTAGCTTATACATCAGAATAAGACATAGGCTATAATTTATGTATATCTGTCTTTATGTCTGAATTTTACGTCTTCAGCCTATTCTACGCAGATGTAGTCGCGGGCAGCAGCTAGTAAACTATAAGGTAAGAAACATTGAATGATATGGTCCCACCGCCTTGGATCCCGCCGGTTAACACTAAACCCACAGTTAGTGCAACCACAAACAACACTAGTTCGCCCTCGACTCCGAGCACGGCGAGACCAACACAACGCGTAAACAAGGTACACCCGCGTTCCGGGGCGGTTCCCACCGCTCCCAGCCACCGATTAGCTAATTGCACAGTCGACGGCCATCGGGGTTTCGGTCCGAACAGCGACCTTGATGGCCCTTAGATGTTACACATCATAGTTAAATGCACGCATGAGCACATGCGTGTGCCTACCCACAGCGGAGGGCTCAAACCCGTGGGTTCTGGCTAGCGCACCGGTTCTGCGTCAGATGAAGCTTTAATAGTTTCGGGACTGAAAGCAAAAACATCAGTTAATACAAGATACAAGATGACATGGTGAGTTTAAAACCATATGCTATCCAAAAACCTACACAGTTACTTCCACGTTCCATTGAAAAGAAAAAAGTTATCGGTTCTCACTACTAAGATTCTAACGTGAGACCTCAGTTTGGAAATCTAGGCCTAGTGGCCGCCATTCTGTCCAAGTATCTTGTTACGCCCAAAATTTTATGTGACCATTTTACTGTCATTCGATTTCAAGGTTCATTTAATATTTTAAAGTTCACGTAATATCACGTATCAGGATTCAAAGAAATAAACATATATCATAGGCTCATAAAAATTTTATAATACATTTAATAGACAATTACTTAACAATTTTATGTCCACAGCCCCTTGCAAGCAGATCTAATTTAAAAGATAACATTCAAACCCCAAAAAATATGATGTCAAAGTATAAAAAAAATAATCTCACCCCTGGAGTAGCTTGTGTAACGCCAGTTCTGTATATTGCGTCACCGCCTATGGTGACCGCCCATACAGAAATATAAGCCTCGTTAGCCTAAAAATAATACGAACTTTAGAAAAGTTCCTTGAACGATCTAAAATCATAACATCAAATAATGATCAAAAATATGAAAAATAAATGTACAATTTTGTTTTTGCATAAGTCAAGGTTTAATCAAAGGCTCATTGTGTCACCTATGGGGTATGACTATATCAACAATTATCATCAGGTGAGAGTTACATACTTAACTAGGTCCACAATTTAATGAATTATTTTATTTATATTTAATATTTAATATTATTTATTTAATCAACAGGTTCACCAACATACTTTCACATTTATGAAGATCAGCCTTAAAGTATTTTAATTCGATGACTCCGTGGCGCAGATGCCAAGGTATTGGCTTCGGCGTCGGGGGTCGTGGGTTCGATTCCCACACGGGACAACTATTTGTGTGACCCACAGATAGTTGTTTCGCATCTGGGTGTTTGTCCGCGTGAAATTTATGTTTGTAAAACGTCCTTTACAACACAGGATAATATTATCCTAAAGTAAAGGCAGTGTTTTTTATATAAAAAAATAAAATAAAACATAAATAAATAAATTCCTCTTGCCAAACAAATTTAACATTCAGAATTTTGCTTGAAAACTCAAGATATTGTAATATATTTTATGCATTTCATATTTTGTTAAACTAGATACATGCCCATATAGATATATCAAGTAAACCAGTATTCCCAGCGCGTATCCACGGTCCTTCTGTATTTATTTGTGCCTTTCTATACCACCTACGCCGTCGGACACAATCGGTGAATATTTTTTTCCCATGGTATGGGGCCGGGAAATCAGTGGCATATTGCCACCCTTCATTATCTACGCCGCCAGGGGTGTTGTAGTCTATCATCCATTCGGATATCTAAAAAAAACACTAATTACTAAAATTGTCTATCAGCATGTTTGTCACTTATTATATAAACACTAATGCAAATTGTATGTCTGATTAGTCAAAACTAATAAAGTTATACCATAAAAAAAGGCCAAGTCCTGTTTATACTGCACAACCTATTGTTCTGTTCAATTTAAGTACACTTTGCATGCTTAATTAAGTTTCTTTTTTTAATTATTGTATATAACACCAATGGGAAACTGGTCCCTGTGGTTTTCCATATAAACATACTGCACACTGATTGAAAAACAAAAGCATCTTGGTATTCATTTGTAACATAATTATTTTTGTTCTAGACTACTACTATTAAAAATAATTGAAAGCTTTTGACTTCAAGAAATCAATAACTGGATAAAATATCATATTAAATGTATTAATATTTAATATATACTACAGTATGTATTAATATGAAACTAATTATGTACCCAATGCCAATGACGATTTAATAATTTGGTATGTTCTCTAGTCCTTTTTAGCCTCCCAGTTATATCACTCCACATGTATCGGTCAGTAGGAAGCCCAGTTGAAGTATATCCAGATAATGGGTTCCATCTCTGATTTTCGTAAACACAATAAGTTTGTGTGTCAGTCATTGCATGGATTCCTTCATTGCCTCCTATTCCTGAAATTTTGCAGTTTTATTGCACTTCATTTTAGATTCTAAAAAAAATTCCATAAAGCACTTTTACACATACCATTTTCACCTACCTTTTAAAATACCCCCACCCCAGCCACCTGTATATACCCATACTCTGTGGTCATGAGATATTCCCCACACCAATCCATTTTGACTACACTCCACTTTGCGTAAATAGCCCCCCATCATACGCCAAAACATTTCGTCTGGACCTATAATAGCACTTGTTGAAGAATATTCTAAACTATAAAGTTTTAGCTGTCCCTGAACTAAAACAGATGTGATTGTTTCATTTGACAATCTGTGTTTATACGAGCAATATTTTTCATCGTTAATAAGTACTGTAAATCCTTTGACTTCACACAAAATCTTCATTGAAAATTCTTGTCCTCTAGCTAAAGGTAACTTATGACGTTCTTCAGCACCCCAATTCCCAGAAATTTTTGTATTGCACACAACTATATTTTCATCAAACCTTACATTGAAATGAAAAGGGATTTCATTAACTTCTGTCTCTATTTTATGTCTTTGCTTTTTTATTTCTGGACCTTGAAGATTTATGTGAAATCGTTTTATTTCATCAAACAGACAACCTGACAACTTTAACATGCAACCAGGAGTAAAACTGTTGTGTAGAGGTGTAGAAAAGCCTGCTGCAATATTTTTACCAAATACTTGAAATTCTTTTGTATATCTGCCATTTTCTTCAGAGTTTAATTTGGCAGGCATGGGATCCCAGTTAATTATATCACCAGAACTTGTTATAGCCCAAACAGAATTATTAGATGGTCTTCCTGACAGGCCATGTATCTGTGATGTTATGTCAATTAATACATTTAACCATTCTTCCTGTTCCATTTCAGTCATATACTGTATTTTAATAATATCTTTGGTTTGGTTTGGAACAATTAAGGACAGTCTAGGACTACCTGGTTCAGAACATGTTGTAATATTTATTATTTCACCTAAGTTTAATATAAATTTTATAGTACCATCAGGCTGAAAAACAGATAAGGTTCCCACATTTTCAGAAGCATGCCAATATAAGGAAATGATACAGTCTTCACTGGAATTATTACAATTCACTAATCTTGCTTCACTGCTACGTGTCCAACCCTTTTCTTCAATGGCTAAACCATAACAAGCTAAATCTACTTGTATATTTTTTCTATTTTTTAGGCTTTCTAGAATTTCAAATCTCCACTTAGCTGTTATATCAGAATTAAAAGCACTCTGTGAATCAGAAAACCAATGAGGAACTTGTATAGTATCCATAGTACAGCCCCCAGCTTCTACAAAAGCCCAAGTTGTGTCACAAGTCCCCCAAGCTGTCTGACTAACTTCATCATCAAAAAACATTCCAGAGTCATTATCAAAAACGCTACTGTCACTATCTGGCTGCGCTTCCATGCCAACCACAGAACCTACACTGCGTACTGGACTCCAGGCACGTGGATTTTTCAATGTTGTTTCGTAACTTTTTCCTGTTAAATCAATACTGTCTAGATTTGTGCTTTTCTTAGGTCGTGATTCTCTTAAAGGTTTAATAGGTAATGTTTTCTCAATGGGTGCTGAATGTGATTCTTCCCAAGATCCATGAAGATTTATATTTGACTTTAACTCAGTAGTATTAGATTCGGACAATGTATTTAGACTATGGTGCATCGGATTAGATGCTGATGAAATTATACTTGCCGTGCTAGAGGTACGGCTCAACTGCATATTTGCTTGCACCATTCTCCATCTTTTACCAGTTAACTCAGCTGGAGTAATGCCACTTCTCCAATATACATTTTTGTTTGATTCACCAATAGCAAAGACTTGATCATTAATACCAACAGAAATGTGAACCATATTTCCATTTATTTCCAACCACCCTGTGCCCATTGCAGCTACTTCTGAATTACCTGCTAAAGCACCATCAATACCTTTTCTAAACCATACTCTAGTATCAGAACTTACAGCCCAAACTACATTATATCCTACAGAAAGACCAGACAATTTTGTTTCTGGAGGTGATTTAACCTCCAACCAAGCTTCACCTGTTGGAGAGTCAATAGTTATACCTTTTCTTATAATAGCCCTTCCTGACCAAAGTAAAGCCCAAACTAATCCTGAGGGGCCTACAGAAATATGTTTTATATCACAGTTAGGTGGAATGTTGACATTTATCCACTTTTGTCCCTCTGGAGAACTTGTACTAACACCTGTTCTATACATGACACGCCCATGGGCAGTAATAGCCCACACAGCAAGTGTACCTGGGCAAGCATAAGGAATCTGATTACCTCCAATACTGACATCAATGAAAGGCTCTTGTGTTGGGTCTTTATGAAGTGGTGCAATAGCACACCAAGAGTTCATGGCACTGAATTTTCGGTATCTTATCCATTTCCTTCTTCGAACACAGGACTTCCATTGCTTTACTGGACCAAACTGTGCAGGGAAATCTACAGCGTAACTCCATCCATCATGATCTAATGGTTGCCCATCTAAAGTAAGCTCTAATTGCCATTCACCTTCCCATTGCCAAGCCATAGAAGGAAGTCTTATAGAATCTATTGATCTATCTTTACTACCATCTTGTGACGAGAAATGATATCGATCTGTCGGCAGTAGCCTTCCAGTGAATCCTTCTAATGGGAGCCACCTTTCATTTTCGTAAGATTCTTCCTTTACACGAATTGGAATTTCAAGACCGTGAACGTGAAGATAAATTTGTCGATCGCCTCCTACCGCCCATAAAAAATGCGGCACGGCTGATAACGTTTTAAATTCTATACCAAGATACATAAATTCCCTCCAGCAAGATCCACTCGTTGAAAGAGCATATACTTTTCCCTCATTATTTATTGAAAATAGAAGAGAATTATTAGACATATTTAAACAAATATTTGTTTTATTTTGTAGAAAAAGTCATAACTTAATCAATTGAAAACTTTTAAACAATCGACCAAATCTACACACTTCACTATTAAATTATGTATGTACCTATTTACAAATTTCATTTTTTATATATTTGGAACGAAAGTACTTTTATTAGTAATAAAAAAATGAAAATGTTAGTTACAATACAATTGTGACATGCAGTAGGTATGCACTATGCACGGTCTTTTCAGTCCATAACTCCATACATTTGATATTTGTATGGAGTTTGCTCATTCCGTTTAGTTCCGTCCGTCGAAAACAGACGGCGTTATTTTAAATGCAAAACCATTTTAACCTTGGTACCATTAAATTAAAAACAAAATTTTATTTTAAGTTTTAAAAATTATTAATTTGAAAACAAAAAATATATAATGTAATAGTATTGGAAGCATTGGCCTATATAGTATTTTAAATTGTTCCACCATAAACTCTTATTATGAATATACAGCTACTCATAATACATTAAATACATTTAGTAAGTAATTTAAAATGCCAAATGGTGAGAAAATTGCCATTGGATATGCTCAAAAATATGCTGCTGAGTGGGAAAAAGACATTGAATTTAAAGGTAGGTATGTTTCATTCGGATCTTTTATAATTGAATGATACTTATTTCCATTTTTTATTTTCTGATTCTTAAAAATAATGAGTGATTAAACGTACGCTTGACCTTGTAGGATTCACTGGTTTAAAAACCTTTACTAAATAAATGAACAATAATATCTTACTATCATATATTCATTAATTATATTCTAAACTTAGTTATAAAACGAAAAAACGGAATACATTGTGAATTTCCCAAGCATGTGAAACACCTATTGTATAGATAAATATCCATAATATCGAATAATATTGAAACCTATGATAGCGTCGTATCCAACCTAAAACCGTGTATAGAAGATATATCAGATTTATGAATCTAAGTTGGATACGCAAACGTAAACGTTACGTTTTGTTTTGTTATACGTTTTGTTTGCTTGTATTAACTGATGTTTTTGCTTTCAATCCCGAGACTATAGCTTCATCTGACGCAGAACCGGTGGGCTAGCCAGAATTATTCTTTATTAATTATTCTCTCTTACATTTTAAGTTGCAATTAAGATTAAAAGTTTGGAGAAGTGAGAGAAATTTGACTTGATGACTTGATCTGGTGAATCCGTTCAAATGCTTTTATTATTGTTATAGGCATATTTATTTGTTTTTTATTTTGGATATTTTTTTTATTTGGTTGGGTCCATAAAAATAAAAATAAACATATAGATATATATATAGCATAGCATATATAAAATAAAATTATTATTAAAGTAACTTTAAAATTATTATTATTAATGTATAATTTTAATAATTTGCAGCATGTACCAATGGATATTGACGTTAGTCCCGTCTGTATTCACCCGACATATATGGACATAGATACGACAAACAGACTCAAACAAAAGACGACAAATTCAGGTGAAAACTCTTATGGTGAGTATTTCTTCTAACTTCTATTTAAACAATAGCATTATCGTTTTAACTAGTATCCTACTTATTAAAGTCTGGCACAATACATTAATTTCAGAATATATTTTGATGAAATTTAATAGCATCAACCCTATGTATGTTCTACTGCAGAGCACGAATCGCCTCTGTAATTATCTCCCTAACCTTGTGTATAAAATAAAATGTTTATTGTAATTTTACGTTATTTTTTAGGCTATGGCAGTTAATGCAACCAGAAAAGTCCAAAAGTTATGCAGACAAGTGAAGTTGCAGCAAAGGAAAATAAAGATACTCAGTCAGAAGGGCCGCAGACTGATGCAGAAGGTGTCGAATTTCCAAAAGACTATTGACGAATTGAAGAAACATAATTTAGTTAATTAATTTAGTCAATTGGTTAATTTAGTTTCATGGAAAAAAACACTCAGAAAATATATCAAAGCGCAACTTTTTAACAAAATTAATATTATTCCGACATGAATAAACGATTTTAATCAATATACTAATTGTTTTTTTATTTATTTAACTATTTATGACAACCTATTTTATGTTACAATGCTGATAGCAAATATTAACATTATTTTTTTTTAGTTTTTACCCCCTACCTTTCAACTAGTGCTGAAAAATGAGAATGAATAGAAAGGTGTACAAAGTTAATAACATTTCTGCGTCTCATCGATATCAATTTATCGATATCAATATGGACTTAATAAAACAACACTATTTGCTGTGGGCGGAGTCGACGCCATTTTAGAGAAACATTTGGCTTCAGCACACGTGACTTACGCCCAGTTTCTGAAACACTTATCATCGTTGATGTCAACTAATCAGCTGTCAAATGGCTCTTCAAATTTCATTTTAGTTGCCTACAAAGAGTCCTTTTATATATCTGAAATGTTTTATATATCTGGTTGCCTACAGGATAGTTAAACTCTTTGATTTGATCATTCTGGTCATTAAGAAGATCATTCTGGTCAACTCGGAGAGTTTAACCATGCTTTTGGCAACTAAAATGAAATATGAAAAGCCATTTGACAGCTGATTAGTTGACATCTACGATGATCAGTGTTTCAGAAACCGGGCGTTAGTGTGATGTGACATACTCATAGATTCTTTTAGCAATGATTAATCAACAAATAGTACTTTTTTAGTACATGTTATTAAAGTTAGAAAGCAGATTAATATAAGATAAATTAATGCACGTAGTTCTCATTTGTTGTATAGATTTTATGTACTGCCTATTAACAACCGAAATATTGAATTGAAATCCCTTTCACGGGTAACCAAAGGATAAAATATGTATTATCAGATTTTGACAATTTTAAATTAAAAGTTAATTTTTATTAAGTAACTATTTACGGTATTTAACTAATATGTAATGAAAAGTGTAGCTCTATATATGTAATTGCTTAAAAGAGCTGAGGCCAGCTGATTGAATATGGTTATTATGGTTTTTTTATTTAACTAGCAAGGCCATGTATAGAAATAGACCATGATCGTTCTAGGTTAAATTATCGTAAATTTTTATTAGCAGCTGGGCTATTGCCAGAAGATTATGAAATTTTTCTTTTGGGAAAAGTTTCTAGCGTAATATTTATCCTTAGGGAATTCGTTTTTATTTTGTAAAGAAAAAAATACTATGAGTGTGTATAGTAAATTTGCAGTCGTATTTAATAAATATCCTTTGTTACGTGGTATGGCATCGTACGGTGTTATTTGGCCTATTTCAAGTTTTATTCAGCAAACATTTGAAGGCAAAAAGTTTGGTAAGTGAAATATTGAATGTTATTAATAAGTGCCTTATGTGCCTATGCTTTTATAAATTATGTAATAATATGTTTATAGTTTCAGAAAATGGTTATGATTGGTGGAGATGTGCACGTTTTGGGTTATGGGGCTCATGTTATGTTGCTCCTACATTGTACTCATGGTTAACTGTAGCTAGTTTAATGTGGCCAGGGAACAGCATTCGTGCTGGTATCATTAAGGTGAAGTTGTGTTACAATGTTAATTTTATTCATAAACTAGGTTAGTAAAACCTGGCTGACAAATTAGTAATTGGTTAGAGGTAACAGATTAATATGAATTGGGCTTTTAATGGTGATTTGTGGGTAAAACTTATAAAAGCAAAAAGAGATGAAAAATCAAAATTGACTAATTTGAAAGTTATCTTTTTAAATATTTACAATAATTTTCTGTTGAAATAGTCAATAAATTGAAATTTAATAGTGAATATTTACAAATCATCATAAATTATGAGCATGATATTAGCATTGAAACATAATTTCAAATGTATAACAATCTGTATTTAATTTTTTTGTCAGTTTTGTTGTATTAAGATGTTTTCTGAGATTTGGAAATGTTTATATTCTTTGTTTTAAATAAAAATTGATAAGTTTTCTTTTTATTTTTCAGACATTGGTTGAAACAATAACTTACACCCCATTCGCCATGTGTAGTTTCTATTTTGGCATGAGTTTACTTGAAATGAAGCCCTTTTATGAAGCTGTTGCGGAAGTGCATGCAAAATTTTTGCCTACTTATAAGGTAATTTTTCAGTGACTATAGCAATCGGTGGATTGATATTTTATTGATTTTGACCATAACATCAATTTTTTTACAGGTTGGGGCGTCAATTTGGCCTGCTGTAGCTATGGTTAACTTCTGTTTCATCCCCCCAAAAAATAGGGTGCCTTTTATAAGTGTTTGCAGCCTCATGTGGACTTGCTTTCTTGCTTACATGAAACATCTTGACAAAGAAGATGTCCCTCAAAAGGCAAAGGAAATGTCTATACGAAGTCTTACCACTTAAGTTGAATTTTTCACAATCGTAGTTGATGATACAGTATTAGAAAAATGTATTGTAGTGTAATTTACTTAAATAGTTCAGTAAATGGGGTACTAGGTTTTTGTCTGGTGAGTGAGTTAACAGGGGCCCACTTTTTAAAGTTTGTCAATGCATCTGCAAGCCTTTGGGTATTGTAGATGTTCTTGGGTGGCGGTATTCACTTAACATCAGATGAACTGCCTGCTCCATTTATAACTTTCACAATAAAAACAAGGAAGATATTTCCAGAAATGCTGTATTTTTATAAAGATTTTTTTAGTAGTGAAGAAGTAAAATTAAATTAAATTAAAAAAGTAGATAAGATATTTCAACAAAATGATCTGTATCATTATTTTTAAATAAGCAATATTTAACAATAATATGTTTGATACAGGAGTTATATATTTTTGTGTAATAGGACTATAACTTAGGAAGACTTTGTGTTATTTGTGTATTTTTTATGTATAGAAAAATGTGATCACAATACAGGTGCAAATTCGAATCAAGTATTATTTATTAAATGTATGTTATTCCTTCAACATTAAATGATTGTTACTTTTCAAAATTGGTTTATATTTTAAAAGTTAGTTTAATAATATTCCTTGAATTTATAAAAAATGATGAAATGTAAAAAAAATATTAAATGGACACCCAATCGTCACTCATGAGAGTTGCATATAGAAAAAGTTGGCTAATTTTATTCCATTAACCTTAAAAGATGGGTCGGGACACTACACATTACTGTGTGGTTTACACACCGACTTTGGTGTGTAGTAGAAGTGGGCGATACAAATCGTATACAGATATGAAAATTATATATTAGTACAATATCTGAAAATCGCTTACGGGCTCGTTCAAAATCTATGTATTTTACAATATCTGATATTTCCGAAATCTGATGTACCGAATACTCGCTCACTCGCTATACCAACACGAATCGCGATAACTTACGCGTTTGCCACAATATCAGATTTTTAAACAAAGCACGTGAGATACAAATATTCACTAGTTTTTTTTGTTTAAAATAAAGAATAATATTTAATTCCAAAAAATTGTGTGGCATGAAATGTGCGGAATCCCATTAAATAAAACGCAGGAACGTGCTCACTGTTATTTGTATTGATCAGAAGGATTTTTACATAATTTCACAATATTTTCACCCTTAAAACAATAATATTGTTAATAAAATCAAGTTAACCGTTGTGTTCTGAGCGGCGAGCGTGGAGGCAGAGGGAACTCCCCGGTCGCCGAGCAATCAGAGGCGACTCGGTTACAAAGCGCGAGTCGCGCGCTATTGCGCGCTAAATTTAAATTAGACGCGGCGGTTGTTTTAATCCACCACATCACCCCCCTAGGCAGAAAATTAGTCCATCAAAAAAAAAAACGTAATAAAATCTTAATAAAATCCTAAATATCAATAAACAACATGCTTATAATCTATTATGAGAATGATGAATGAAAGAGCAATTAAAGTAATTACAGGGTCAAACGGTCTTTAAAACGGACGCTACGACCTGAGCGAGTAGTGTTAGGTGGTGGTGCGGAGTGTTTAATACAAGCAGGAGGCACAGCTGGAGTAGCCATAGCAGGTTAGCAGTTCGAACTCCAGGTGCTGACGGTACCGAATTGTCTAGGATATATGCCGGTTTTACACGGTCAAGACTCACTTGCGTGTTTCTGTCACCGACAGTGATCGTTATTGTTTTCTACGTCCTAGACACTACCTTATGAGGTCCACTGTAGAGCGGCTTGACAGAAGGTCTGACTGTGTCATCTCTCAAGAAGACGTGAGTAGCAGTCAAGTGGTCCTTCGAAACGAAGACTGGCTGCTGACCGTGGCGGGAGGCAGGTGTTGGCCTTAGTCGTGCCATCTGCAGGCGGAGTTGAGTGGCGAAAGTCCTCGACGCGATCTGGAGCTAGAGAAGGCGCAATAAGTTCACCGGGCAAGCGCAGGTGTTCCCCGTAAACAAGATGGGCCGGTGAGCATTGCAGGTCCTCTTTGAGAGCTGCGCGCATGCCGAGTAGGACCACAGGCAGCGAATTGTACCATGTTTCCTCGTGATACATTAAAGCGGCTCTAAATTGTCCGTGCATGCGTTCGACGAGGCCGTTCGCGCACGTGGTAACTTGTGGTGCGAACGCGTTTGCTGCCACACATCTGCATGAGGGTCTGAAAAAGAGACGACTCAAATTGACGACCCTGGTCGGTCGTGGGCACGCCAAAACGAGCGGTCCAACCTCTAAAAAAGTTTTCTGCGCACTCCTCCGCTGTCACATTGGCCAAGCCTCTGGCCACCGAGTAACTCTGTCGACAGCCGTCAGACAGTACTGGAATCCCTTACTGGAAGGGAGAGGGCCAATGTTATCAATATGCACGTGGTAAAATCGAACGGTTGGTGCAGAAAAGTTACCAAGAGGAGTCGATGTGTGCCGAGAAATCTTGCTCTGTTGACAAGCAGTACAAGCACGAGACCATTTGTAGCAGTCTTTGCGTATATTTGGCCACACAAAACGCTCAGCTACCATGCGTGCGGTTGCCCGCGCCCCGGGGTGGCTGAGATTGTGAATTTTGTCATAGTAAGGACGGCGAAAAGAAGATGTAAGAAAATGGACGAGGTTTACCCGTGGAGACGTCACAGAAAATTTCAACGTCGCAACCAGGAACCAAAACTTTTTCTAGTTTTAGGGACGAGTTGGTTTGCATCCTCTGCATTTCGTTGTCAGTTGCCTGTTCCGCAGCGAGAGCAACGAAGTCATCGAGTATATGGACGGCTTCCACACGTGACATAGTGTCAGCAACGACGTTTTCTTTCCCATGTACATAACGATGTCAGTTGTAAACTGGGATATGAAAGAAAGCTGGTTGAGCTGGACGGGTGGAAGCTTCTCTCGTTTTTGTGAAAAGGGATACGTTAACGGTTTATGATCCGTGTGTATAACCACATGTTGAGCTTCCATGATATGGCGAAAATGATGGACAGCGTCGTAAATCGCTAGCAGCTTGTAGCAGCCCTGTAGTAGGCAGGCCAGGTTGTCTGGCGGGCTTTGAGCTTCTTGCTAAAGAAGGCGAGAGGCTGCCAGGAGTCATCAACGAGCTGTTGTAAACAAGCTCCAACATGGGTGGACGAAGCATCGGTGAATAAACCAAGTTTAGCGTCGGGTACAGGGTGGGCAAGAAGCATCGCATTCGCAAGATGGTCCTTGCATTTCTGGAACGCGGTGTGGAGCTCCGGTGTCCACGGAACTGGTTGCGACCTTTTAAGCTGACCCGACACGTAACTGTCGATTAACGGCGCTTGGAGTTCAGCAGCATGTGGCAGAAAGCGGCGATAAAAATTCACCATACCGAGGAACCTGCGGAGGCCTTCAACTGTTTTAGGTGGAGGGAAATTCCGCAGGGCTTCGATGTGCTCAGGAGGCGGACAAGTACCCGATTTGCTAACCTTGTTGTGAACCACAGATGAAGTAACTTTCCGAGGAAAGTTACTTCATCTGTGCCAAGCACACATATCGATGGGCTGACAACAACACCGTATTGCGATAAGCGCTTGAATAGGGCGCGAAGATGGCCAACATGGTCCTCGGGGGTCTTTGAGAAAACGAGTATGTCATCCAGATAGCGAAAGACGAAGTCTAGGCCATTGGTTACCTCATCAATGAAGCGCTGGAAGGTTTGTCCAGCATTGCGCAAACCAAAAGACATATAACAAAATTCGTACAAACCGAAAGGTGTAATAATGGCAGTTTTGCTTATATGTTCAGGTGCGACAGGGATTTGTTGGTAGGCTTTAACCAGATCTATTTTGCTAAAGATCGTATAGTCGGCTAGGTTGCTACCAAAGTCTCCGATGTGTCGGACTGGGTAACGATCGGGAATCGTCCGTGCGTTGAGTCCCCTGTAATCGCCGCACGGTCGCCAGTGGTCCTGCGAGGTGGATGGAATGTCAAGGTGTTTATCCTTGAGCACCATCTGCAGGGGCGAAGACCATGGGCTCTTAGAGGGACGAGCTGTACCACAAGCTACCATGTCCTCGAAAACAGATTTGGCTACCTTGAGTTTTTGAGGTGCGAGCCAGCGGGGACGACTGCAGACAGGTGGTCCTTCTGTAGTCAAAATATGGTGGACGGTATTGTGCTTCACAACGCGGGGAAATCCGGGTGGTCTCATCAGTTCTGGAAACTCCTGTAATATTTTGGAGAAAACGGAATTGTTAGTGATGATATTTTTTTCGCTGGGTTGATTAATAGCTGCCACAGTGGCAGTGACGGAAATATTTGTAACGCCGTCTACTAATCGTCGCTTAGAATAGTCTGGCAACAGATTGTAATAAGCGAGGAAGTCAGCTCCGATTATGGGAGTACCAACATCTGCTATAACAAAGTTCCATCTAAATTCTCGACGGAGTCCAAAGATGAGACGAAGGATATGGAAGCCGTATGTCTTAATTATGCTCCCGTTAGTAGCACGGACATCGAATCCAGAAGCTCTGGAGGGACCGCGAAGAAGTCGGCGAGGAAAGCAGCAAATATCCGATCCGGTATCGATAAGAAATCGATGAGCCGACTCGGTATCTTTAATGAACAAGCGGCGGCTAGTACTAAGTTCACAATCAGATGCCGCTACTGATTGTTCAGGGCATTTCCGTCTGATCGGGTTTCCATGTGTATGGAGTCAAACATTTGGCAGCCTTGGTACCGAATTTGGCGTGGTACCAACAAGCGCCCGACTTGCGGTGCCGAGATGCAGAACAAGACCGGGAGCGTGAGCTGCTCCGCGAACGAGAGCCTGCACGACTTCTGCTCAAAGCGTCGACCTTCTGTGTCAGTTCATCGAGGCGTTTCATAAATTGGCTAAAGTCGGGTAGGGCAGTAACTGCAGAAGCAGAATTAACTGAAGCGCTCTTACCGGGGGCAACGTCAACAAATCCGTCAGCTAGCTCAGCAAGCTTGCTCAATGGTAAGTCCTGATGAGCCATCAGGAT